AGGCAGTACAACTTCCAGCTTTGTCTGGCATTGTCTGGGACCCCGAGAGAGCTCTGTAGGGGTTGGACTCGACTCCTCATTGTTAGCAAACTTCAGAGCATGTCCTGCGGTCACCGAGAGGCCCGTGCTTTCTGGTCTGAAGTCCTGTCCAGTGCCTGGTAGTCACCTCCCACTCCTTCATTCCCTGATGACCTGGAAGGGTTTACTCTGGATTTGATTCCAGCCCTTTCACGGTCCTCTGATCACGTTTCTGTCGTCACTGTGGTCAGTGTGTTTGCGGTGGTGTTCTTAACTGTGGGTGGTGAGGGAGGGGCGACTCCTGAGGAGCACCAAGACCTGGGGGCCCCTTCTGGCTATTCTCAACCAAGCTGGCCAGTGGATCAATATAGAAGCCCAAGGATGTGGTGCTGCACAGACCCTGCAGTGCCAGGGACTCCCTGGGCCACCATGGTGCTGCCCAGGTGTCCCTAGAGCCACACGCAGCCATGCTTGAGGGACCATTGTAATGCCAGGGGTTGAACTGCAGTCAGCTGCATCCGAGGCAGGTACCTCTATACCTTCTCTGGAGCTCTCACAGTGTTCTTGGCTCTGCCCAGCTGACCTCAGTAACTTCGCATCTGTAGAAGCGCAGTCAGATCGTGTCTATTCCCCTGGCCTCTGAGATGCGTTGGAATCCGAGGTTCAGGTTGTGATTCTATGCTCGACTCCTAAGCTTCCTCCCAGACTGCACTCTTGATGGAGAAGGCGGCAGAACACATACTCAGTATTATGCTTTCTGGCACAGTCATTGCTTGGCACGGTCATTGCTGGAATCCCACCCTAACAAGTGCTGTGTCAAACCCAGGCCTCCTACTGCAGAATTTTTATAACTCAAAAAGTCAGCTTGTGCCAGAAAGGAAGGTCTGAAAATGATCTCCAAAAGGATCTGTTTTATATTTAACTCAGGGAAAGGGTTTGCCTGCCACCTATTTTCTGAAAACTTGAAAGCAAGCACAAGGCTATGTGTGCATTACTCGCAGTACTTGGTCATTAGGGGCTTCTGCACCATCTTCTGCCTGAGTCTGAGTATTGTCTCTTGAAATCATCAGTGACCATTTTCCAACTGATGGAAATAAATAAAAATCTCATTCTTGAGAATGGCTGCTCTTCCTGCTTAGCCTTCCTCAAATTCTTGTTTGACCCTGTCTGTGTCCACCTCCAGGCAGGCCCTGTCCCTCCTGAAGGGTCCCTCCCATTCCTTCCTCTGTTCCTTGCCACTTGCGTTATCGGTACCGGAAGTTCGGTGGGAGCAAGAACTGCCTGACCCTCGTCATTGTGTCTTCAGGTTGTAAAACCATGCTCAGCACTCAGCGGGGACCCAAATACTGACTGAGTCAATAAAGGTGGATACGCAGACACTGGCTGCCCCTGCAACTCTCAGGTTCCTTCTCGAGTTTTCTTTGGGACGGAGAGCAGGCGTTTGATTGGGGGAGTCTCCCAAGTGTGCTAAAGGGGCCCGGGGACCATTCCCAGGATACTTGGCAACTGAGCTGGGCAGTTTGAGGTTCGGGCGTGAGAATGCTCAGCTGCTGGGGCTCACAAGGCCAGGGACCATCGGAACGACCAGGGTGGCACTTGAGGGCATCCAGGACTACATCTGCTGGTGCCGGTTGCGGGGAGGAGGAGAGGGGTCCACGCAGTGCCAGGATTTGAGCATGACAACATGCAAAGCACATGCCCCTGACCACCAGCTTACTTCCCTGTCTCCCCTCCTTGGGTTTCACCCCTAATTGGACAATGCCCCCCACCCCCAGACCCCACTGTCTCGTGTTTCTTCTAATATACCTTGCTTCCCACGCTGTTTCCAAAAAGTCACAGGTGTACTAACATGATTGATTTATCCACTGATTGCAAAGGTTTTCCTTTCACTCACTTTAAAACTCGCCCATTTCACTGAAGACCGGGGAGGTCAGGTGAGTTGTTTAAGATTACAGAGCAAATCTGTGTGCTGTGTGGTTTCTGCGCCGCCCTGTCCCTCCGCAGATTTGCTGCACCAGTTGAGTGTGGCCGATGAATATCTCTAGAAGCCTCTTTACACGCTTGCCCACGGCAGGTCTCTGAAGCTCCTGGAGACAGTGGATCATATTTCTCAGATCTTCTTGAAGAGAAATCGGTGTCCCAGCACTACCGCCTCGTTCTTCAGTAATGCAGCTACTATGTCCAACATAAGCCATTGTTTCTCCCAGGTTATCTCTGCTCAGTTATAAGTAAAAATAATTTCCCACGCACTCAAGAGGAGCTTTTTGATACCGGTATTGGGCCATGGGCCATCAAGTGCCTGAGAATTCTTTGCTTCCCTGCTGGTGGCCTTCATTCGGCCTGTCTGTTCTTAGGTGAACAATGAAATGACTATTTGAAGTAACGACCAGCCAGGCTTTTAGCACAAAATATTAGATAACTTGGAAAACACATTATTGTTACCCCAAAGGAAATAGTAGTGATAATTTAGTGGAGTGAATATGGTAATGGAACAAATATAATGCAGAGTCACATGATTGGGTACTCAGGAAGAGGTGGAGTGAAAAGTCAACACAAACTTAGTACCTGACTTACCAGGACCTCCCCAGTGCAGTCAAACGATTTGGAGGAAAGCAGGTTTGAAGAGGAAGATACACTGATGAGTGTAAGGTTGGAATTCCCTGTGTTTGGCTAGAACTGTGCAATGAGAGTAGGAAAGAATTGGACGGTTTGGGCTTCGGGAATTACCTATATCAGGTCGTTTAGTTTGTTTTGTTTTTGGTGAAACAGTAAAGTTTTATTGAAACTTATTTAGAAAGATGTGAGGGGAGAAAAGGGGAAAAGTACATGTTTGAGTGGGAACACGGGCTTCTCTGGAGTAGAAATAGGCAAGTGCCAAGACAAGCGAGGTGTGTGTTCAAGGGAATCAAGGGTTTGAAGAGCCCACATCGGGCAGATCCTGAAGTCATGACACTGTTCTATTTGGATAGTGAGTTGAAGGGCCAGACCATGTATCCAGTTACAGTTGGGAAAGGCCAAGACCACAGGTCAGAGAGGCTAGTGCACACACATGGATGTCTTCAGAATGAGAATAGCAGTAGGAGGTGGGGGCTATCCCAGGGGAAGGATCTAATGGGGCAGGCCAGTGGGAAGATTCTAGAAGCAGGTTTGGAATCAAGGAGGAAGTGCTTTGAATTTGCCGTCCCCAACACCAGTGTAAGGGCAGGAAAAAAAGGAAGAGTACAGGAACATTGTAAAGAGAAGAAAGAAACTGCTGCTCCTTTCCCAGACAGAAAACAGTGTTCCTACAGAAAATGAAGTGACGTGGAGAAACTGAGGCGGGGGGAGGGAGGGAGGTATACCACTGAGGCCAGAGGGCACACCTCAGGAGACCAGGCCACCGGGAGCAGGGGTATTCCATTGCAATCATAGCGGTTTGGGAACTGAAGCAGGATGAGGGATGAGAGGCAGTGAAAAGGTGCAGGGGACGCTGTCTCCGAGCGTGGCCTCAAGGTGAGGCAGGGACAGACAGGGGGGTTGGAAGGGTAGGTGGGCACGGGAGAGGGGAGTTCAAGGAGAGGGGTGACAAGCAGATAGGATTGGTTATTTGTAAAAGTGGGCGTGAGAATAGCTTTGGTCTGGTGGGAAGAATAGAAGTTCTTCAGCCACTTCAGCCGGAAGTTTTCTTCAGCCACGTTTGAACGTGCGAATTAGCACCCCTGCCCGCCACAGCTGTGTGCTCTGTTTTCCGCAGTCGCCTCCCCATCCCTGAAGTTTGGTTTCTTTTCTCTCCCTGTTTGGTGTAAACATCCTGAGATGTCCCAACCCTGCCGGTTCTGAGCCCGGGTCCGTGGCCTGCTGTACACTGAACCCAGCCAAGGCCTTTCTGGAAATACAGAAGCCAGACACCCTTCATTTCATTCACCTGGGTTTCCTGTGTTGTAGTTTGATTTGTTTTTCAAGTTCCCCCCACATGTTCCCTGCTGCCACCCCCCACCCACCCACCCAAGTATTCTCCCGGGTCAGGACCTTGGCCCCACACATAGTGGGAACTGGCTCGTGCACTTGGGGGCTTCTTGGGCAGCTAAGTATCAGTGTCGGATGCCTGGCTTCCAGGTTCAGCCTGTGACCCCAGCAAGCCCAAGTGGTTAGTCTTGGAACCTTCAGTTTCCTGTATGGCAGTATGAGGAAGAAGAGTAACGTGAGCACAAGACTCAGGGTCAAATTAGAGAGTAACACGCCTACCACAGCGCCTGACACACAGAAGTCACTTGACAGATCGGAATTGTTTTTGCAAATAACGTGCCAGTTGCATCGGCAGAAGGCAGAGAGCTTGAATCTGGCCTCTTACACCACTCTGCCATCCTGACACCTCACGTTTCACTCCAGTGCACTGCTTATCCCAAGGATGGCAGAACTGAATTTCTTCCACACGCCGTTTGTTCGGTTTCCATCCATGACTGAAGGCTCTCTTGCTTTCTGAGTGTTCTTCAAGCCTCCTGGTTATAGTGCTGGTTCATGTGTCACCACATCCCCGCGGTGCAGCCATGAAACACTTGCATTCCTTTCCGTTTGCTCGGTAAGAAAACTGCCACAGGCTGGCTGTGTGAGCGACCCACAGAATGTTTCCAAAGGGCCAAGGATGGATTGGGACCGCTGGTATCTGCCCACAGATAATTCCGTTAGAGCGTTGACTTTTCCTCAAGACTATGCTACACTTACACCAGTAATTACTGTTTTAAGTAAACAATATATAGCTATAATCTCAGTGTCTGTTGTTGAGATGGCCGGTTCTGAAGTGGGGTACGGGGTGGGGGTGACCCTGTCTTTCTGGTGATTGCCCCACACTTATCAAAATGATGAGTCCGGAAGTAAGAGCTTGCTAAAAATAAAACAAAAACAGTCATTCAAAATGTTGATGGCCGTTAACATATTGCATTTACGAGCAGAGAAGTTTGTCATCTTCGTGTTGTCATTCATGCAGCATTAACCTTTTTCTCCAGATCATTGAGACTGAGAATATGATGGACCGAATTGTGACTGGCTTGTCTGAGTCTAGTGTCAAGGTGCGGTTAGCAGCCGTCAGGTATGAGCCTTAAATGGTCTGAATAAACATCCTTTGCCATGTGTTTAACCTCTTGCCTTCCTGGACCTTCTCTGAGTAAGCACAGAATCCAAGTGTTTCTTGGAAATCCGCCCAGGTGGAATTGATACTGTGTGTAACGTTATTTAACCAGACACTCGCCCGAGAGCCCCCTGAAGTTGTTGAATTAACCATGTCTGTTGATATTTCTGAAGTGTAGATTAGCCATTGTGAAATGCCAAGCAGTGTCATTGAAAAGTCGCCGTTTCGGCTTCCCGTGAAGCTAATTTTGATTGTTCTTTATAGATGTTTGCACAGTTTATCTAGATCTGTGCAGCAGCTTCGCACCAGTTTCCAGGATCATGCTGTGTGGAAACCTTTGATGAAGGTAAGAGGATATGGTCTCTAGGCTCGCCCGTCCCCTCCCTGCGTTCAGCCCCGCGGGAGGCCAGGACCCGACCGCCCTCCCTTCTGAGGGTGTCTGATCCATGGGACGCTGCCCAGCCCAGCACCTCCGGTTGACCTGGAAGTACTGGGTGATTTCTTTTGCTAAGTAAAACGTCAGCCATCTGATCCCTCTGTGGAGTATTACATGTTAGACTTAGATCCAGATAAGAACTCTAGTTACTAAAAAGAAAGGAACCCACCATTTATAGACATAACTTGTTCTTAGCCCTTTGGCAATCAGTCCCTGGACACTTTATAATACAGTTGTTTCCTTCTGCTTCTCTACTCTAAAGTAGCTTCTTTGGCCGTAGATCTTGAGGGTCAGCTGGGAGAGGGGAGTAGGGATCTTGGATGAACTAAATCTGAATATAGAACTTATAGATGTGATATGATATGCGATGTGATAGAAAGTTAGAGGGGCTTCTGCTAGAAAGCGTAAGAAGTGGGCTTTGATGGCAGGGGAAGGCAGGAAGAGTCTGACAGAGGCTCCCTGCTGTGTGTCAGGATGGGCCTGAGGACAGCTGAACCACCTACTTGTGGGGACCATAGCATGGGCCTGGAAAGAGCTGGACCATGTCCTAGTGGGGGCCGTAGGATGGACCCAGGGAACGTTGGACCGTATCCCAGAGGGGGCCAGAGGATGGGCGCAGGAAGAGCTAGACCATTTCCCAGAGGGGGCCAGAGGATGGGCGCAGGAAGAGCTAGACCATATCCCAGAGGGGGCCAGAAGATGAGCCCAGGGAGAACTGGACCATAACCTAGAGGGGGCCAGAGGATGGGCCCAGGGAGAACTGGACCATGTCCTAGAGGGAGCTGTAGGACAGGCCCAGGGACGGTTTGCTCAGTTGAGTGATCTTACTGTCACTTTTCTTGCTTGTTCAGAACTTGGACCTTTCTCATAGCAATTTTATCTTGATTTGTCAATTCTGCCTATCCATGATTTTTCATGTGCTTTCCTTTATTCCCCCAAAATAATTTCCAGATACAGTGTTTGGAGCCATTTTCCTGGATTAAGCACAGCTTAATTCTGTGTCTTACGAGTCAGTCAGGAATGGTGCGGTATGTGGTTTCTAGCCAGTTCTGACAGGAAAAACTGGGGGGAGAAATCAAAAAGGATTTAAAGTATATTAATCTTAAAAGCCTACTAGTAAATCAATATTTGTTTCAGATATGTGTAGGTTTCCTCTTAGTTCAAAGACTGTTGGTATGACTACTACTCATTTCCCCATTTTAATTTTTTTTATAGTTGTAACTGTTGGTGGCATTTGGTTTATTTAAAAATTTTACTTATAATTTTTTGTTGTTTTGGTGATTATCTGAGGGCATATCAGTGCTAGAAGTCAACTACTAAATTTCATATACTATCTTACCTCACATTTGAATAAATGCTTAAAATATGTCAGAAAAAATCTCTTATTTTAGTTGCTCATTAAATGTTACTTAATTCAAAAATAAAACTTAGCAAAGGCTTATTAATCTATAAAACAGATTTTCTAAAATTTGTATTATCAAGTGTAGCAACTTTTTAAAAGTCTTAATAGGCATTTATTTCAGCCAGTGATACTAATCAGTATAATTTTGGAAGGTGATTCTTTTTCTTAATTCACAGACATTTCATGAGCACCCATGTTGTGCAGTGCTGTTTAGTTTAAATTAGACTGTAAATACCTAGATGATTTCTTTAAATCCTGAATTAGTTGATTAAAAAAAGTAGTCAGGATATTTGAGAGATCAGATAGTGGCCACAGCTACTCTCAGAAGGACAGAATGAATGACGGACGGAAATGCTCCCGGCAGCTACTTCTGGAATGGGTCAACCTTCCAGCCGGGCAAGATACCCTGAGAGCTGCAGGAACGGTGTGGGCAGGAAGGGTCAGTGGAGGTATCGCAGCAGACAGGGCCACGTGGTTCCCATCAGCTAGCCGACAGTTCAGAGAAGACAAGTACATTACATAAGGAGAACATCTGTTATGTAATTCTTGCTTATTCTTAACTTGGGAATGTAAGACTTGATTTAGTGAAGAAAGCCAATAACGTGTGTGTGTGTGTGTGTGTGTGTGTGTGTGTGTGTGTGTGTCCATTTCTAAAAGCTCCTTGGATTCCTTTGGGGATCTTGACTCTAATCTTGTCTGATTTCAAATACAAATGGTCTTGTGGAAAGTCATATTGCAGATAAGTGGCATCTGTGCAACTTCTTTGAGAATCCAGAAAGAACTGGTTCTGGTAACAGTGACTAACATTTACCATAATGCCGTGTTGTCTTTAGAGCAAGTGTGCATGGCAGTGAGTTTTTTTATGTACCTATTATCTCTGTGCCTGATAACAACAATGGCAATAAATGACTTTTTAAAATCCTAATTACATGGTCATTACTGTGTGCCATTACTGTTCTAAATCTTTCCATGTACTGTGACAGCAGCCCCACGAACTAGGAGCTGTTCTTAACCCCACTTCCCAGTCCAGGAGTTCACATTCCTCTTTTGTGTTTGAGCCTAAACTGTGCTTAGCCGCCGAGCCGCGCTGCTTTCTTTGTTCTCATCATTTGCCAAGTAATCCCAAGTCCTCCTGGCAGGGAATGGTGGTTTTCCACAATTCCTCAACTCCGGTGTTCAAAGACGCTAAAAAATTTGCTTAAGCACACATACCTAGTAAGAAGAAGGAGGTTTGGAACAAGGACTGTGATTCCAAGCCTGAGAGCTAGTGCCCCAGATTGCCTTTCTTAACAGCTGGAGGAAATTAGCCATCTGTACTGCTGGCCAAACAAGTCCTTCCGCAGACACCCCAGAGAGCCTCAGGACCTCAGCCATGCCTATGTTTTCATAAGAAGCCTGATGTGATAAAGTCAAGTAAGCTCATTTGCTCCTCTTCAAGGTCCTCAAACATCACATCAGACACTTCTGACTTGTCTTATGTTCCTTTTCCAGACACGGCCCCTTGCTTGCAGCAGTACTATAATTTCTCCAGCAGGATGAATGTGGGGCCCAAGTAATGTTAGAGCACTGGGTACATGTTATGCTGGTAGCACATGGACCTTCCCTAACTCATCAATATAGAAGTCCAGCTGAAAGAGAAATGGTGTCTTCTCATGTAGTCTTAGGAGCTCCCCTCCACGGCTCAGAATCATTAATAGTATCCCTTTCTTTCTTTTCCTTTAACGTCCTATAGGTTTTACAAAATGCACCAGATGAGATCCTAGTAGTAGCGTCCTCCATGCTATGCAATCTCCTCCTTGAATTTTCTCCAAGCAAAGAGGTCAGTATTGCTTTTCCCTTTCTGGACTTCACACAGAGCTTTACCTAGAGCTTAGGCAGACAGTTTTCATAGTAGTTGACATTGAAGTTTGAGAATTGGGCTTAAACTCTGCTCGGTGTGGGGCTGGGGAGGGGGTGTGGCAGGGAGCAGGGAGATGGTCCAGGGTGTAAGAGCTTCCCTAGCATGCAGCCAGCCCCGGCTCAATCCCCGGCACCACTGTGTGTAACCTAACCCTCCTACCCCCAATAAATAAAACCTACTTTAGCACAGCGGTAGGGCGTTCGCCTTACAAGCGGCCAACATGGCCGACCCGAGTTCGATTCCTCCGCCCCTCTCGGAGAGCCCGGCAAGCTACCGAGAGTATTCGATATGCCAAACACAGTAACAACAAAGTCTCCAATGGAGACGTTACTGGGCCCGCTCGAGCAAATCGACGATCAACGGGAGAGCCTTTACCTTTACCTTTACCTTTACTTTGTAATTGCTGGAGGAAAGTGAACAGATTGAATGCTTTTTACCTTATGTCGCTCACATATCCAACTTATTCAATAGAACTTTGCAGCTTGAAGTCAGTCTTAAGTGCCTGCAGCTGCAGTGTAAGAGATAATTACAGAATTATGATTAAACACTCTTTACTAAACAATAAATTAAAAATCAGTTTTGTAAGCCAGGATTATAAGTCATTACAAGGCATCACTCCTGACATTAAAAAAAATCCCTTTTTAAATGACAATGGCAGTTGTTTGGGGAGGGATTATATAGTGATACTTTCTCCTTTTGTGTGCTTTATAAATTATTTGTAAATTAATTTTATTTAGAAATGACTTTACTACAAGGGTAAAAATAAACTTTAAAAAGTAAGGGGAGCCCTACTGAGTTGGGTGTTTCCTGATAGTGTCATTCTGGTCTACCCTCTGGTGAGCTGAGTTTTAAGCACAATCCTTTTGTCTGCTGTGGTGGTCCAGCTTTTGACTCTCTTTCCAGCAGAAGAATAGATGGAGCTTGGGAGGTTGTTTCCCAAGAAGTGCCCAGGAGCCCCCAGGGTGCTTACTCCTGGTGGTGCTGTGGGCTACCAGGCTCACACCCAGCAGTGTTCCAGGAGTGAGTGGTGCTGGGAATGTCTCAGTGCCTCCCTTGCCAGGAACATGCTCTCAGGCCCTTCGTGCTCTCTCCGAGGCCAAATACCAGCAGGTTTTGGTAGCTTGGAATGTCTTTTGTGCACGTTCAGATATAGTTACTCATAAGCAGACATTTGGGGGCACAAGTGAAAGACTGGTAGTTTTGTTGATGTTTCTGATGAGGGTGGTTTTTGTTTTTGTTTTGCTTGGTTTTTGTTTGGTTTTGGGGTGCTCAGGACTTATCCTAACCTTGTGCTCAGACATTACTCCTGGCATGCTCAGGAGACCTGATGCAGTGCTGAGGATCGAACCTGTGTTGGCCGCGTCCAGGGCAAGCACTTTAGGCCCTTAGTGTTCTCTCCAGTCCCTGGACTACGAGTATTTCTGTAGGCAGAGGGAGTGCACGCTCGATGTGAGGGTTCTCTGTTGCTCTCTGTCCTGGAGGTGGGGCCTCAGCCTGATGATGCTTGGGTTCGAGTCAGTACACTGCCATTAGTCACCCTCAGCAGCTCTTGCGTCACCTCGCATCCACAGAGTCGAGGAGAGGAACTCAGGCCGAAGATCGTTAATAGGATTTTTAAAATATTTTTCTAGTTGTGAAGTAGTTTGATAAATTGAGTCCATTTTGATATTTCACCTTTCTTTAGAACTTCAATCTTCAGGGCTGGAGCAATAGTACAGTGGGTAGGGTGTTTGCCTTGCACGTGGCTGACCCGGGTTCGATTCCAGCATTCCATAGGGCCCCCTGAGCACCCCCAAGAGTAATTCCTGAGTGCAGAGCCAGGAGGAACCCCTGTGCATCGCTGGGTATGACCCAAAAAGAAAAAAAAAAGAACAGAACTTCAGTCTTCAACCGTCATCTTAGCCCTGCCGACAGGCCTCTGTCCTGCTGGTCCACAGATGGACAGTTAGAACCCAGGTGGCAGACCAGTGATTTTTCAACCTTTCTACACCAAGGGCTGGTGGTTGAAGACCTCTGCTTGAGAAGGCAGCTAGCAAAAACATACACTATTTGGGCTAGCGAGAGCTCTGTAAGCAGAGCACATACTTTGCATGCAGGAAGCCCGGGTTTGGTGCTCAGTGATGTTTGGTTCCCTGAGCACTGAGCTGGGAGTAGCCCCTGAGCACTGCCAGGGTCAGTGAAACCTAAACAAGTAAAATAATAACTTAATTTTTAAAAACAACAAAACAGATATGACTTCTGTAGCCCATTTGCCAAGATCACATCTTAAACGACTAGCACTAACATTTAATATCATGAACCGTTTCCCTGCATTTGAACTTGTCCAAGTTGGTTCAAGATTCCAGAGGGAACCAGATTCCAGGTCGTGTGTCCTGTTACCGAGTAGAGATAATGATCCATCAGAGAAAGCCACGGAAGGGCAGGCAGTGAGGCTGGGGAAAGGCCTCCCTGGCATTCCTGTTGTGATGTCTGGGGGTCAAACACATGCCTTTTTTTTTTTTTAATTTAAAATTAATGACAAACTGGGCTTCAAACTGAAAAGGGAGGAAACGCTGTAAGAGCATCATCATCAGTCGACAGCGCTGGAATATGGATTGTAGATTCAGTAAAGCATAGTATTAGTGTTAACGTTTCTGAGTTGGTAAGAGATTATTCTTTTCTTAGAAGTATTCATGAGGGGCTAGAGAGATAGTACAGTGGGTAGAGCACTTGCCTTGCACATGGCTGACCTGGGTTTGATCCCTAGCATCCCATATGGTTCCCAGAGCCCCAACAGGAGTGATTCCTGAAAACAGAGCCGGGAGTAAGCCCTGAGTATTACCAGGTTCGTCCCCCACCAAAAAAAAGAAGCACTCATTGAAAGAAAGGAGTATGATGCATATACATATTCTACTTTCTAATGGTTCAGAAACAGACAAATAATGTGAATATGGGAGGCAAAGTTAGAAAACTAACACTAAAGAAAACACAGCAGATTTTAAAAGTGGTGAGTTTGGGAAAGGACTATATAGATTTTTCCATGTATTATTTTTGATACCCTGCCAGTTTGCACTTCTTTCAAAATAAAACATGAAAAGCTATTACAGGAGGGCTGGAGCAATAGTACAGTGAGCAGGACGTTTCACTTACATGCAGCCAACCCAGGTTCGATTCCCGGCATCCCATATGGTCCCCTGAGCACCGTTAGGAGTAATTCCTGAGTGCAAAGCCAGGAGTAACCCTTATACATTGCCAGGTGTGACCCCAAAAGCAAAAAAAAAAGAAAAAAGAAAAGATATTGCAGGTATGAAAGTACATAGAGATGCAGTGCAGGGGTGAGGCACGCGGGGAGATAGTACAGGGATGAAGGCTTACGCATTACCTGCAGCTGATGTACTTGGTGGTATTCAATCCCTGAGCACCACAGGTACATCCTTGGGGTTTCCACACCCCTAGCACCTCCAGAACACACCAGGGTGACCAGGTTATCCCCTGCACCTTAGGGCACACCAGCCCAATTGACCTAAAATCACTAGGAGTGTCTCCCGCAGTACTTGAGAGACCCCTCCCCCATTTCCAGCTTTTATTTAAAAAGTACAAGAAAGTACCCACAATATGTGCAATTAAAGGATTGTGTGCCCTTCCTTAAAATGTTATCTAGAAAGGCTCTGGCCTTTTTCCCGGTATGTATTTCTGAATTGCTTAAGACATTTCTAGAATCCATTCAATAGATGAGCTTTTGAGTAGTTGATGGGAAAATCCTTCCTCTACGGTTTGGGGGTAACTTGTAAACAAACCATAAGGATGGCTCAGAGACCCCAAGGGTGCGCACCTGCCGAGCAGGTGTTGGTGCGAACATGCCTCGAATGAGGACATCTCCTGAGACTCTTGGACAAGAGGAGGAACGGCCAGGAACTGGGGAGACTCAGCTTTGTGGGAGCATGGGGTCCTTGGTCTTGCCTGCTCAGAGATGCTGTCAGCTGCCTCACCCTCTGCTCGGTGAAAGCCACTTGGAATTGAAGTGGTGGGAATCTTAGGCAGGAAACACACTCACTTTATTTACAACCCTGACTTCGAAGCTGTTTGTTTATTTATTTATTTATTTTTAATTTCCCCATCACAGCCCATTTTAGAATCCGGAGCGGTAGAGCTACTTTGTGGACTAACCCAGAGTGAAAACCCTGCACTGCGAGTGAATGGCATTTGGGCATTGATGGTACGTCTCACGCTGAGTGGTGGCATTGCTTACAAAAAGGGGCATGCTGTTGTTGGGGGGACGGCCACAGAGTGGTACTTAAAAGGCCTGGAGTCTTCTTGTTTCCAAACTTGGCTGTTGGGGCACAGGTTTATAATGACTTGTTTGGTCGAAGACCCTGTGTTCACCTTTCCGGTTCAAATTTAAGCAAGCTGGAACTGGAGCGATAGCACAGCAGGTAGGGCGTTTGCCTGGTACGCGGCTGACCTGGGCTCGATTCCCAGCATCCCATATGGTCCCCTGAGCACCGTCAGGAGTAATTTCTGAGTGCAGAGCCAGGAGTCACCCCTTGGCATCACCGAGAGTGTGAACCCGAAGAAAAGGAAAAAAAAGCAAGATGATTGGCCACTGCGTGCCTCAGTTCTCCTGTGTATTATCAAGTAAACTGGTCTGCAGTGAAATTTGACTTATCTAATGCTGCAAGGAAAAATTCTCCTCGTGAGCCTGGCCGTGCCTGTATGGAGCTGCCTGCTTTAGAAATCCATGTCTCATTTGCTCTTCCTAGCAGCGTTCTTTCTGAAATAGGCCAGGAAGCAGTCACAGTTTATGAGAGTCCCACTAAGGTTCAGAGTGACTAAGTGCTTTTTCCAAAAAAGCAAATTCGCTGCATTTCACACTGAATAATTTCTTCACCACTTCTCGTATTTACAGTAATTGAATTCTGAAACTTTTATAAAGTCAGAGAACCATTTCTTTCCTTAAGGTTTATTCAAATTGAGTTATTGAAATGGAGAGCATGGATTTTTAAAGCCTAATAATAATAGTTACGATGTGCTTACTCTGTAAGCTCGGCATTTTACATTTGTCACCTCTATTTCTTCCAGCCTCACAGTTGGGAAGCTGAAACTGGGTGGAGAAATGACTCACCTGGCCAGTGAGTGCTGGAAATGTTTCTCCACTTGCATGTGGTTGTCGGTCAAGGGCTGCCCTGCCACCAGCTGTGGGGTGGCAGCGATCACCTTACAGGAAACGAGTCCAGTCCTTCTGCAGTGCCTTTTCTCCTTAACTTTGCACCAACTTTTCGTACTTCTCTTTCTTGAGACTCTTTCCCAGGACTTTATGATCATTTTTTCTTTTTAAACCTTGCTCTCTACCTAGTTTCTCCCTCTTTCCATGGGAGATTCTTCCAGGTTTCAGTCCCACACACCATTTTAAGGTTGAAAATTGAACTGAACCCTCCCATTTCTCTATCCTTGTTAATGACCTTATTCTCATCAGTCTCCATATTCTCAGTGGCTGTGTTCTGTGTCACAATGGAATCACCGTGGGTGGGGGTCACTTCCCTCCCTGCCTCGTTCTCTCTTGCCAAGTTGCCTTGCAACATTAGGAAACTGGATCTTTCCTGTGCTCTTAGTCTCTTAGTTAAAAAGAAAGTACCAGGGTCCTGAGAGATTCTACAGCAGGTTAAGACGCAGAGTGCTTCCACGCACATGGCTGGCCTGGGCTTAAGATCCCCAGCCCCACCCAGAAGGATCCCTGAATACAGCTGGGTGTGCTCCAGAAGGAAAAGAAGCCAAAACAGCTCCATTAGCCACATGTTACAAGAAATGTCTCTTTTACAAAATAACTCCTGGCCATCCGGGTTGCCTATGTGTGCAGATCCGTCCATCCTGCCCGTGGAGAGGGTGTGACCCAGCCCGATTTGTGCCCAGCACGCTGTTCTGAACATGCTCGGAGTTTGGTGCCAGTACGTGTCCAAGGCTCTCTAGTTATTCTCATTCATAAGAGAGAACTTTCAGGTCACTGGCAATGCCGTGACACAATATAATCACGAATAGTCATTTTGGTATTAAAGGGACAGGAGGCAACTCGCTAACCACAAGGTTCCTCCCAAAATTAGCAAATTTCCTGTTTACTTGAGAAGTTTGAGGATCTCAAAGGTCCGTGTCAGGAAGTCTTTATCCCTCATCTTGGAGCATATGCAGGCGAGGTGGTTATCATTCTCCGAACAGAATTACATGTGATTAACAGGGATCCAAAAATTAATGTGACATGCCTAGAGGTTTTTCCGCAGGTTTTCTGTGTGCTTTGAAAACGACCAGCGACTGTTAAAATATCATTTACTCAAGCAAATGGAGACATGATTCTTGAAACCTCTTTAATCCTTTCAGAATATGGCATTTCAGGCTGAACAAAAAATAAAAGCAGATATTTTACGAAGCTTGAGTACTGAACAGCTCTTCCGGTTGTTATCAGATTCAGATTTGAATGTGCTGATGAAGACTTTGGGGCTGCTGAGGAATCTCCTCTCCACCCGGCCTGTAAGTGAGCTCCGCGGGCCCAGCCCAGCCGCCCCGCACCGGCCCCTGGCAGACACACGGGTCGCTAACGGGCCTGCCCTGCGGAGGGCAGCTCTGCCGGGCCCACTCCCCCTCTCCCACACGTTTCCTCCCGGGTCTGAATCACGGCGCTATGAGGCTTTTGCTCTCGCTTCAGAGAGCCCCCCTCGCTGCCCATCTGCGGACCCCCACCTCCCACATTGCCCCTGGCCAGGGTTGTCTTCTCGATGACAGTGTCGGGGCAGGAGACGCCGATCCCAGCTGGTGGGCTGTGTCCCTCTCTCTTTCATGGTCCCTAACGGCAGTGGCCGTGGCCTTCAGGTAGACTAAGTGTGGGGCGCAGGGGAGCTTTCTCTGGGCCTCACTGGCGTTTTCAGGCCTTGGACACTGAAATGCCGAAGCTAGCGTTGGTGTCCCGATGCCAGAGTTTCCCTCGCTCCGGCTCCTTTCATCACCAACCTGGCCCCACATCCACCTTTTCTGTTTTCCTTTTCCTAAATGACTTTGAATCTGAGGATCCCTCATGATGACAGCTCAGAATTCTATCAGCCAGTCTACGCTCTCTTTATTGTAGGTCATCAGAAACATTTCGTCAGAACAAAAATGAAAGGCAGAATGGGGCTTGAAAACATCATCAATCAGTCAATCAATCAATCGCCCAAGTAGATTCACAGCATTTTACCCCCTGACCCCCACCCCAACCTGTGGTGCTGGGTGCAGCCTTGCAACTCCTAGTACTGGTCCATGGATTACTAGGTTCATGGCTGGGCTGAGATTGCTGGAACAGGTCCCAAAATAAGTTCTGTGCATACGGATAGGAAGTGAACACTTTGGCAAGTCTAGTCCCGCATGCTCTCATGTCCTCTGAAGCAGTAACGAACTGCAGTGTTTGAAGAAGCTTCTCTTTCCTAGAGTCCTTCCCTTTGTTCACCAGATAATAATGGTAGGTTTCCCATTGTTTTGCAGCATATAGATAAAATAATGAGTACTCATGGGAAGCAAATCATGCAAGCCGTCACCCTTATTCTGGAAGGGGAGCATAACATCGAGGTAAAAGAGCAGGTATGTGGCCCTATGCCGCCCTCCCCTGACCCCCTTTTCTTTTTTTTTTTTAAATATCTTCTACGTGATTTAAGGAAAATTGTGGTCTGGAGTCTCCTGAAAGTTTTAATCTGCAAAAGAGAAAGTCTGCAGTGGTGGGTGCTCCCCGACCCATATACACCTTCCTGCTCACTCAGGAATTCCTCCCCCTGGATGAAAGGCTCAGAGTCCAGAGTCTACCCTCTGTGTCATTTGCCATGTGCTTTGTCCCTGTTTCTACAAGACAGTCACTTTCAATCATCCTAGAGCAAATTCGTTCTGTGCTCTGATATCCGATGTCTGCAGCTCCTTGATAAGATAATTTCTTGTGCTAGAAACTTGTGTGTGTGTGTGTGTGTGTGTGTGTGTGTGTGTGTGTGTGTGTAATTGAACCCAGGGCCTTACAAGCCAGTGCATGCTGCCACTGACCCACATCTCCAGCCCATGGTCCTCTCCTATCCCCTTACTCAACTGTTGAGCTCCGGTAGGACAAGTTGACAGCAGTCATAAAAATACAGACTGTGCATTCATTCAGGAACAGTTGGGGAATCCTTTTCCTTTATTTCCTGGGGTTTATTATAGGATTTTGTTTTGTTATAGCACAGCGGGTAGGGCGTTCGCCTTACAAGCGGCCAACATGGCCGACCCGAGTTCGATTCCTCCGCCCCTCTCGGAGAGCCCGGCAAGCTACCGAGAGTATTCGATATGCCAGACACAGTAACAACAAAGTCTCCAATGGAGACGTTACTGGGCCCGCTCGAGCATTGAAGAAAGAAAGAAAGAAAGAAAGAAAGAAAGAAAGAAAGAAAGAAAGAAAGAAAGAAAGGCTCACCTCAAAACTTCTATTTCTAACCCAATATCTGAGATGGTCGGAAAGTTTGACTCTGGCATTACGTGGCATTTGACTTAGATGGTTTGATGCGCTTGTGTGCATGTAATTAGAGAAGGAACATGCAGTGTCATCACTGGGGTCTCCCCCTACAGCCCCTGGCAGGCCCCAAACAGCACCCTAGGAAATCAGAGTGGTAGGACTTGGGAACTGTGCCTGAATTTGTGAACAAACAGGGTGATGGATTTCAAAAGTGGTTTTAACCTAAATATCTTACTTAAGTGAGATTTCTCTTAACTTCAGTTATAGCAGGTTTTTTTTTTTTTTTTTTTGGATAAACAAAACATTAGCCCAGAAAAACTATCCTCTCACAGTCATCAGTGCAGGAAACTCTCCACCCATGCCAAGGGATCACTTCCGGTGATACTTGAGGTGTGGGTGCTGGGGTTGATCTCTGACTGGCTGCATAGAAAGTAGGTGTTCTACCTGCTACGGCTCTGGCCCTGCGCTTTCTCAGTGCTACTAGTCATTATCCATTTTGTTTTGTTTTGTTTTGGGGCCACCCCTGACAGTGCTCTAGACTTACTCCTGGCTCTGTGCTAGGGATCACTCCTGGTGGAGTTTGTGGGACCCAGGAATTGAAGAATGGCAGGAATTGAACCTGGGTCAGCCACATGCAAGGCAAATGCCCTACTTACTACCATCCCTCCAGCCCCTTCATTGTCTTTTTTTTTTTTTCTTCTTTTTTGGGGTCACACCCGGCGATGCTCAGGGGTTAGTCCTGGCTCATGCACTCAGGAATCACTCCTGGCGGTGCTCCGGGGGGCCATATGGGATGCTGGGAATCGAACCTGTGTCAGCCATGTTGACTGCGTGCAAGGCAAACACCCTACCCGCTGTGCTATCGCTCCAGCCCCGTTGTCTTTTTTTTTTAACCTTGTTTTTTGATACTCCACTTATTGTTATTGCTTACATATGTTGTACTTAGTGTACAAAGTTTAAAGAAAGTGTTATATCTATATTCATGAGGATGGTATGTTTTTTTAAATTTTTTTGTTTATTTTTTGGGTCACACCCAGCGATGCACAGGGGTTACTTCTGGCTCTGCACTCAGGAGTTACTCTGACAGTGTTCAGGGGACCATATGGGTTGCTGGGAATTGAACCCGGGTTGGCCATGTGCAAGGCAATCACCCTACCCCCCCTCCCCCCAAGGATGGTATGTTTTTTATATGAAGTTTTAGTTCTTTGTATGGGGGTAGTTTAGAGATGGTCTCAGGTAATGATGACCATCCCTCCCAGCTTTCTGAAAATTTGTGAAGAAATGAGTTGATATTCTGTGTTAAATTTTGGTAGAATGTACTAGTGAAGCCACTTGGACTCAGTGTTTCTTTCATAGAAAGGCATTTAACCATGAATTTCATTTCCTTTATGGAAATTGGCATATTGAGGTTATCCATGTCTTGAGTGAGCTCTGGTACTGTCTCTTTTGATGAATTTGGTCATTTCATCCACAATTTCAAATTTGTTAGCACAGAAGTATTCATAATATTCCATCTAAAAGTCTAACATTCTAGGGGGACTGGAGTGGTAGCACAGCAGGTAGAGCATTTGCCTTGCATGTGGCCAAACTAGGTTCAGCCCCCAGCACCACAAATTCTCTCCCAAGCACTCCCTCGAGCGCAGAGCCAGGAGCAAGCCCTGTGCACTGTTGGGTGTGACTCCAAAACAAATAATTTTCAAAATGACTAACATTCTGGAAATGAGTGATAGCACAGTGGATCCTGTGCCTGCCTTGCAGCTGATCCAAGTTCGACCCCTGGCACCATGTATGGTCCTCTAAGCCTGCCTGGATGACCCCTGAGCACAGAACCAGGAGTAAGCTCTGAGTACCACCAGGTGTGGTATCCCCTCACCCTCCTCCCCCCAAAACAAAACAAAACAAACAAAAGCCTAACATTCTTAGCAGAGTCCCCACTTTTATATATGTTTTTTGCTTTGGGGGTCACACCCGGAGATACACAGGGGTTCCTCCTGGCTCTGCACTCAGGATTTACTCCTGGCAGTGCTCAGGGGACTATATGGGATGCTGGGAATTGAACCTGGTTCAGCCACGTGCAAGGCAAATGCCCTACCCACTTTGTTATTGCTCCAGCGCCCCCCTTTTGGGTATTTTATCTTAATAATTCCTTTCTCCTTATCGATTTGGGCTAGAGGTTTATTGATTTTATCAATCATAAACAGCATTTTGTTTCACTGTTGACTACTTCTTATGTTCCTATTCCATGTATTTCAAGGGCTGGCAGACTGCTCAGGAGGGTGAGAGAGCTATTCTAGCAGTCTCTGGAGCAACTGCCCAGCTCTGCTGTCCAGCCTGAGAGCAGCAGTGGTCCTGTAAGCAGGGGGATCTTTCCATACAACTTGATCAAAACAGAAATCTGGCTGGATGCAGCCGACAGACCACAGTTTGCCAGTCTCTACTGTGCATCACTGGTTTCCAGTTCACACGAGAAAGAAAAGATGCTTTTATCCTTGCTCCCGAGCTCACTGGTTAGATTGGCATGACCCGTGAATTAATTGCTCCTCGAGGAATGCTTCCCCGTAGGGGTGTGTGGGCTCCGGCACAGAGCTGTCGCTCCCTCCGTGTCTGCTGTACGATCCCGGGAATGCGTGGGTGTGTGCTAGAATTCTGGACGGAACCTTTCGCCTGGCCCCATCTGTTTCCTGAGTCCTCCCTTGCATTCTTAGTGGGCCGTAAAGGGGAGCCAAAGGTGCTTAGAATGCCTAGGATAAAGCGTTTTCACTTCATCCAACCGGTTATAGTCATTTTCACTGTTTTCTTTCACTGCACTGGCCAGCTCAAAAGTAGATATTCCTGAGGAAATGGTGCGGGGCGGGATCAGGAACAGTGAAAGTGTGCCTGGGACTTCCTAATGGTCCTGTTTTTCCTACCCACCCCCCACCCCCACCCCACTCCACCCTCCATCCAGACAGCTTTGAAATCTCTTCCCATCAGTTGGCCTGACTCTTATGCAGCTTAAAGGAAAAGAAGAAAGAATTAAAGTAAATCATTCTAACCTTGGTTTTCACTCCCAGCCTGGTGGAGCCCAGCTGTTAAGGATCAACTCACTGGCGAGCATTATCTTGCTGACTTAGCCCAGAAGACAGGGTCATTGTAAAACTTTCCCTGTGAGCCTTCATTTTCTTACCATCAGACGAAGGAAGAGGGGATGGAGAAGAGAGTATGGGCTAAGGCACTTGCCTTGCAAGCTGCTGACCCTGGTTTGGTCTCCGCCATCACACCTGGTCCTCTGAGCACCTCCAGGAGTGAGCCTTGATCACCCAGCCAGGAGTAAGCCCTGAGCATCGCCAGGTGTAGCTTCCCCAAAACTAACAAAAAAGAAGAAAGAACAGAATTAGGAGCAATTGTTTTCACACTTAAGATGTTCATTTTATTGGCATTAGTGTGCCAGATCGCAAGTGTGAGGAGATGGAGGCTTGGTTGGGAGGGGGAGAGAGGCCTGAACACTGACTTTATTCGGTGACCTCTACAGACTAAGGGCTGGACCACAGATAAAGAGCCGCCGGGGCCAGGACCATCAACACCCCCAGGTGGCCACTCTTGTTAGTTCCATTTTGTCCCATTCATGTCTGTTCTTTGTAGGATCTTTCTGAACAAAGCCTAACCAAAAAGAATGTGGATCCATTGTTCATTGTTCTCAGTGTAATATGGTGTTTATGCCAGATTAACAATATAGTATATAGGAAAATGCCCTCATTCTTAGTAAAGTAAAGGTAAAGTTTCATCATATATGTAACTTTCTTTGAAATGGTACAGGGAAGAAAAGAGAAGGGAGAATTGTACCTCCCTATACATGTATAGGCACAGCACACTGTTTAGAACCAGTGTGTGCAGTGTTTCTGGGTATTGGGTCTAGGGGATGTGTATATTCATTATGCTTTTATTTGTAAATGTTCTAAAGAGGGATAGTACAGCAAGTCGGGTACCTGCTTTACATGTGGCCAACCTGGGTTTGATCCCTGGCCTGCCATATGGTCCCCTGAACACTACCAGGAGATTCCTGAGTGCAGAGCCAGGAGCAACCCCTAAGCTGGGGTTGATCACTGGGCATGATCCCCCAAAAAAGTTGTAAATAATTTACGATTTGAGAGTAGATAGTACAGGGGGTAAAGTAATTTGCCTTGCAGTCAGCCAACCCTGGTTCAATCCCCAGCACAGAGCTAGAAGTGATCCCTTTGCACAGAGCTAAGAGTGATCCGTGAGCACAAACCCCTAACACCCCAAAAAAGAATTTATATATATTTTTTGCTTTTTTGGGTCACACCCAGCAATGCTCAGGGGTTACTCCTGGCTCTGCACTCAGGAATTTCTCCTAGCAGTGCTTGGGGTCCATATGGGATGCTGGGGATTGAACTTGAGTCAGCCGCCTGCAAGGCAAACGCCCTCCCTGCTGTGCTATCACTCCAGCCCAATTTATACTTTTTTTTATAATAAAAAAAAGAAAATAGGCTAGCCCTGTTCCCCCTTGTCCTTTCAGTCTTGGGAATCCGAGAGTGCTCTGCCTGCCTGGGCTCCTGACGAGCCCGTGACTTACCACATCACTGGAATTTGCCACCTTTGCCAGGTTCTCTCCCACTCTGGGCTTTTCATGGTTTGGTCATGACGTGAGTGCCCTGGACTAAAAAATTCCCCGGTGCCTCTTGAGGCCTTCTACTTCCCGGCTCTCTAGTATCCCTTTCGGGAGTTTGGGGCTCCCTCCCTGATAAGCCAGCTGGCGGGGGAGGGTGTTGGTCTCAGAGACCGACGCTGTGGGCAGCAGATGAGGTAGCTGAGGCCAGAGACGAGGTAAGTGTGCGGCTGCGGCCCCAGCCCCATCTCTCGGGCCAGTCCTGTCGGTGCTCTCAGTCTCGCCCTGACAAGCCCCTCTCCCAGACTGGCAGTGTCCAGCCAGCACACGCCCTTCCCGCTTTCTCGGGTCTGTGCTGACCTCCCCACTCCACAGGGTTGAGTCATCTGAATTGCAGTATGACGGCTTCGTCAGGGCCGGTATCATTCTGTCTCACCTGACGCCCGGGGAGTGCCGGTGCCTTGTAGGTGCTCTGCAGCTGTCTATGCGTTGCCGAGCCTGGCATTGGCTCCGTATCCTGTCCTTTCCTTTCCTTCAGCCACCCCCCGGCCTTGCTTCCTGCTGGGTTGACCACCAGAACGAAACAGAGCGGTCAGTCTAGGGATTGTCCTCCTGGCTCTCTCCTGCCGCCAGATGCTTTCGGGCCTTTTGCTTCCCTTTCTTGTCCTCTGACAAGATTCCAAAGGTCAAGAGGCCCTCCTGGGTCGTGATTCTTGTGGTGGGTAGGCCCAGGCTCCCGCTCCCGGGCACATTGGAAGGGAGCCATGGACTTGCATGCACAGACTTCCACCAAAAAGAAGACGTGTTTGAAGACCCCTTGAAGAACGAGTTAACGGAAACTTCTCTTAGAAATAAACTTTTAAGAAAAGAGCAATCTGTGTTTCCTTTGATTTTTACATTATTCTGAGTTTTGACGGCCTTTGCTCAGCCGTAGCTTGTGTCCAGAAACTACTGAAATTTGGAGATTTTTTTTTTCTTTGGCCTGAGGTAGACTATGCTCGTGTACAGTTACTTTTGTCGGCAGTGAGGCCAGGAGGGGAGTGATCAAGGCATTTGAAGGGAGCCTCTGAGACTAGGAGCCCAAGTAGAAACTGTGTCAGTTCGGAGCAGCCTCGAGTGTGGGGAGAGCTGAGCCTTTCTGACCACAGGCCTTCTTCTTTTCCAGACACTCTGCATCCTAGCCAACATCGCAGATGGGACAACAGCCAAGGAGCTAATTATGACCAATGATGACATCCTGCAGAAAATCAAATACTACATGGTAGGCCCCTGCCCCTCGCCCCACTCTGTACCCACTGTGCATTAGAAGGGATGGTAGCGCTGTTGACTCAACACAGACTGCAGATACAAACTCAGGAAGCGTGGGGTAAAAAACTCAAGCGTTTGAGGACCTCGTCTCCATCCTGAAGGAAAAGGAACATTGCCAAGTCTTGGAAGCTTGTGTCATTCGGCAACATTGCCCTGGGCTGCCCACCGCTGCTCCCCCCTCATGGCCTTCCTCTCAGTCAGTGAAGATTTGGGCTCTTGACTTTCTTTTAGCATCCCCCATCCTAATCCTTGTCCTCTCTGTAGGCATTGATGCCACATCAGTGGCTTTCTGAAGCTTCTAATGCCTGTTGCTTTGCTCTCAAGTGTGTTCCCCTGCTCACCGCCATGCAGTTTCTTCTCTCGTTGCCAGACACTTTCCATTGGCCAAATCTGGATCTCAGACCTCGCTCACACTCCCATTATCTCCTAGCAAAACCCTCACCATCCATGTGTCTGTCTTCTCTTGACCTTTCCACATCAAGAGTTAACCACCGCAGGGCCAGAGTCATAGTACAGTGGGTAGGACGTTTGCCTTGTATGTGGCAGTCCCCGGGTTCAAATCCCGGCATTCCCATAGGGTCCCTCAAGCACCACCAGGAGTAATTCCTGAGTGCAGAGCCAGGAGTAACCCCTGAACATTGCTGGGTGTGACCCAAAAAGCAAAAAATAGAAAATATTAAAATTTTAAAAAAAGAAAATATTTTGACAAAAGAGTTAAACACCGCAGAGAAAGGCACCAAAGTAGGCTGACTAGTTTCATGTGAAATTCACATTCACAATACCCAGCTGGACTCTCAGCTCCACCCGCTGCCCTCCTGTGGTATCCCTGTCCCTGTCTTCACACCTGCTGCCCTCCTGGCATCCCTGTCCCTTCCACATCCCCTCCCCTCCTGCAGCACCCCATCTCCACACTCACCACCCTCCTGCAGTACCACCATCTCCATAGGAACAGGTTCTAACCTTCTCATTGCTCAAACCTCACTTATCCCCCATCTCACTCAGTGGTTACCAATTGTTTTAAGAGACTAGTGACAGACTCTTCCTGTGGCTTCCTGCCGTATATGTATGAGGTAGCCCTTCCTGCTGGCAGTGAAGCTCTTCACCGCCTACTCACCTCAGTCCCCACCTCAGCTCCTTCCCTTTACCCACTGTGCTGTCATTTCTTGTTGCTTCAAGAAGTCCATTTGCTTTTTACCTCAGGAAAGCACCTAGCGTGCTTTCTGCTTGTGTGAGGAAACGTATGTCAGGGTCTCCCTCGGAACAACACGTTTGGTGACCGAGAGCTGCCTCCCCGGAGGAACTAAGAGATGGGGGCCACAGACTTGAGGGTCAGTGACCATTTAATCAGAACTGAATAGCATACTTAGAGAACATCTGAGGGGGTTCGAGGCATAGGACGGCATGTAGGTGTGATTGATCACTTACAGAGGTAAAGCATTTCAACAGAGGCAATTCTTTTGGGGGAATTAACTCAAGGAGACGTTCTGTCTAGAGGCTATACTGAGAAATTCATCTAGATTGCTTTTTTCTTTCCCTTGCGATTAGCACATATTAGACAACTAACTTTACTTCTTATTAATATTTGCAGTTACTTGGACAAACACAGTAAAAAATTTATAGATTCCAAAACTTAGTTCTCTGGGCCTCGGGGCCTAAGGTTTAAAGCCAGCTGGGCTTTTACCGTAAGTCCAAGACTAAGTCCTCAGGCGGGTTTAGCTTTTCCCACACCATGGAGTCCTGTGTTTTAGATCATTATGGCTAGTATGAAGACCAGGCCTTATGATTTCTAAACTGCCCCATATCTAAGACAGAGTAGCTTTGCTGCGTGCCTGGTTCCATCCAGAGATCCCTCAGTGGGACCTCGCTTTTTGAGGTGTTAGGAGCTATGGCGACTGAAGCCTGAGTTCAAGTAATTACGATGGATGCCCGGGAGTAAATATATTTCAGAGTTTATTAACTCCCAAATATTAGGAGCATAGCATTAACGGTCTTCCTGTGTTTAAGCTAAGAACATTATAGTAAAATTTGAAAAGGTCATGGGGGAAAGAGAAGAGCAATTAATTCACTATAGATACAAAGTTCAGAGTCACCAGAAGGTTTTACTTTATAAGTAACCAAGCCTGACCTGGGGAATTTTGTAGCCAATGGAATGAGAGGTAAAGTACAAAGGAAAGGTTAAAGATAAACTCAGGGGCTTTAGGGGTGCTTATACGAGCACTGGAGGCTTCTCTAGGGCAAAGAAAAGGAGCAGTTCACTGCTGAAGTCTAATACAACTTTGGGTTAATACCCAGCATACTCAGGACACTCTCCTCAGCTCGGAGTACGCTTCTCACCTTCCACAGCTTAGCTGCACAAGCACCATCCGCTGGCCCCTTCATTACCTGTGGGGGTCACTCTCCGTCAGTGCCTCTTCCCTTCAGAGCACTCGGCTCAGCTGTGGTGATACTTAACTCTTTGTGAAGCTACCGACTGTCTCCTCTCCAGAGTGTATCTCCATGTGACAAGACATGTTCTTGGCCAAATACGTGTCCCGCACCTCCTACCAGCCCGGCTCTTAGCACCCACTCAGTAAATATTTGTTGAATGAGGTTTCCTTACTACAGGTCGGAATTCGCTCCTCCTTACCACGTCACCCTCATTTTTCTTGACTTCTATACCCTTTGAAATGTACCAATTTTTCTGCTGCTATTCGAACCAAGGCTTATTTTTATCATCATCATCATCATCATCATCATCATCATTTTAGTTGACATACTAAATTTTCCAAGTGACTTCAACATTTCAAAACTAGTCACATGTACCTGTATAATTTTATTTGTGATTCAGTGTATGAAGAATGTTCATATTTTTCCTCACAATGATTAGTGTTTAATATGCATATTAATAATTTTAATACATATATTGATCTGAATTCTGCTTCACAATGATAGGAAGAACCAACTGGGGCTGGAGCGATAGCACAGCGGGTAGGGCATTTGCCTTGCATGCAGCCGACCCGGGTTGATTCCTCCATCCCTCTCGGAGAGCCTGGCAAGCTACCGAGAGAATCCCGCCCGCACGGCAGAGCCTGACAAGCTCCCCATGGCGTGTTCGATATGCCAAAAACAGTAACAACAAGTCTCACAGTGGAGGCATTACTGGTGCCCGCTCGAGCAAATCGATGAACAACGGGAGGACAGTGCTATTATTTTAGTTAAATCAACATTGGTTTATAAGGCTGTAAACATTCCTCTGTGTTAGGGACGTGCTTTCACCAATCACACCCGCCACAGTGCCACAGTCCCTCTCTTGCCTCAGTCCACATGCAGCTCTTGGTAACCTCAGTTCTCTGGCCAGAGTCTAAGGTTTTCTTTCTGGTGGCCATTATCTGTTCCTTCGCCCTATTTCTTTACATGCCACGCATGAGTGCCATCCGCTCGCTGTTGCCGTTCTTCTACTGACTTACTTGGTATAACCTGACTCCTAGTTTTATAACAGAACAACACCTAGTTTTATCTCTGTTGTAGCAAAAAGCAACAGCATGCTTTTACTAACAGTTGAGTTGTTTCCTGCTGTGTCTGTAAAGCGGTTTCTCCGCTTGTTGGGCACTTGGGATGTTTCCTGTCTTGGCAAAGCCAGACTTCTTGGAAGCTACCTCTGCGTGTTTTACCACCTTCCTCGCCTGTCCATCTGCTTCAACCTGCCCCTCTGGCCTCCACCCCATCTCTCAGCTGACACTGTTCTGGTCCAGGTCACTGTCACCTCCAAGAGAGAAAATCCAAAGTTTCCTGGGCTTCCTGCTCTTCCATCTTGCCTCACTTGCAGTAGACTCACCCAGTAATGCCGGGGGGTTGTGTGGTGGCGGGCGTCACAGCAGAGTGGGCCTGGTGTGCTGGTGCCCCACCTTCTGTGCTGGGTATGTGCCTTGTACAGCCAGATTGAAAACCAGTAGTTCAAACTGTTTCTCGGCCTTTGTATAACTGTCACTCTTTCTTTTCTTGTTTCCTTCCATGGTTGCCCATCCTGCCAGTTAACCCCGCACTTTCCCGCCATCCTCCTTCTCACAGTTTTCACACATGCTGGGCCCCTCTTAGAATATCATAGGGCCGGACCAGGACAGCTATATGGCCCTGGTGTGAGAAATGCTGGTTTTGAATAATTGCATCCATTCCCGCTGCTTTTGTTATGAGTGTCTGCATTCAGCAGATTACCTCTGCTTAATTTTTATCCCTCTTTTGCTTCACATAGGGCCACTCGCATGTCAAGCTGCAGCTTGCCGCTATGTTTTGTATATCAAACCTCATATGGAATGAAGAGGAAGGTAAGAAATGGGTGAGGGGGGCCGGAGCCGTAGCACAGCAGGGAGGGCACTTACCTTGCATGGAACTGACCCAGGTTCAATCCCCAGCATCCCATATGATCGCCCAAGCACCGCCAGGAGTGATCCCTGTGTGTAGAGCCAGGAATAAGCCATGAGCACTGCCAGGTGTGGTCCAACCCTCCTTCCCCCTACTAAAACACACACACAAAAAAAAAAAAAAGAGAGAGAGAGAGAGAGAGTTGGGTGAGGTTTCTCTGAAGAATTCTGGAAGAAGGCTTCACACAGGTGGGCGGTAGGTACCCCTGAACTCTGGGGAAAAGCCCCACCTACGTTCCCCAACACCCAACAGAACCCCCTTGAAATGAAGACTTGTGGGCCTGAGTCCATGGGCAGTGGAGCTGAGCCCCTACCCCCACCCCCACCCCCACTCAAGCCAACAGGTTGGGGACTAGTCAAGGGGTGTGACAGCCCCTGCTCTGGAGGGCTGAAAAGAGGATGGTGAGAGGCCAGACCCCCCAACTGTGGCAGAGGGAGCCCCCCACCACCTGTAGGCAGACGTGGACAGGGAGGAGAGGGCGCCACTGGTGAGGCCTGGCCAGTGCAGAGGCTTGGAGAGCAAAGATTCTCCTCGGGTCGCATCTTAGGACCATCAGGACTTTGCACGAGGCCAGTGAAATCAGAATCTCTGCGGGCGGAGGTTCAGAAACACAGACATTGTAGGAGTCTTTTCAGCTCTCCCGGTGATCACGGGTACAATCCAGGCAGGCGACAAGCAGGGGCTGGAGAGTGCGGGTCTCGGGGGAACAGTCTGAAATGCACATTTCTGGCCTCCAGCCTAGAGACTCTGTTGCATAGGGCCCAGAAGGATCTAGAGGGACATATGAATGTGTCATGGTAGGGTCTTGAGAGGGAGACTCCCAAGATGACTCTGGACAGCAGCTGTCTAGAGCTAAGTGGGAAGAGGAGGACTCTCATCCAGTGACAGGCCCAGAAGCCCGAGCAGCGCCTGGGCCAGGGAGACGAAGCCTGTTGTCGCCAGATAGTGGGATGGAGGGTTCTGAGGTCAGAACTGCCACGTGCTAACCCAGAGGCAGCAGAAAGTGCTGGGAGGTTCGAGGCCAGGAAGAGAAGGGGCAGCAGGACCTGTCTGGAGTAGGAGGAGCCTGACCGGCTTATGTCCAGAACAAAATGAAGCTCGGGCTGGAGGTTGGGGAAGAATCCGCCCCCAGGCCTGTAGGCAGTGGAGCCCAGGGTGGCTGTAGGAAGGAGGGACGTCGTGGGGACACAACCCTGGGGCTGGCGGCCATGGGGGTTTGGGGAGCCGCGGGAGGAAGGGGCAGGCAGCGAGCATGTGGTAAGACCACGGGCGTGTCTGGGGACAACACCTGGCCGCCTTGCCACTGACCTGTGAGCCTCCTGTGTAGGTTCCCAAGAGCGCCAGGACAAGCTACGAGACATGGGCATCGTGGACATCCTACACAAGCTGAGTCAGTCCCCGGATTCAAACCTCTGTGACAAGTGAGTAGCAGAATGAAATGGGCCTTGCTGTAGGGTTCTTTGGCTGCTTTCATGGAAGGCTCTGGATTGCTTAAGTCATTCACCTGGCCAGACTGAGAAACCTGCTACTCACTTACATTTAACTTCATCTTTTATCACCGTAACTTGGGCTTAGAACCTTCTCGGCCTCGGGTGTCCGGACTCCCGAATCAGCCACAGCAGAGATGTGCATTCCCACGTGCTCTCGGAGCCCCTCCTTCCTTACCCATACGTTGAGTCCCTCTTGCCTAACTTGCCCTTCCCCTCCCCTTTTGGGAATTCACTCTGGATTGACATGAACCCAGGCCAGCCCAGGGGTCGGTCCCGTCCCTTCATTAATAAACTCGTTCTTTGTGGGTTTGGTGAAAGAGAAAGGAGAGGGAAGGAAACCTGCAACAGAGGTCGTTGCCCAGCCCCAGGCACACAGGGCCACCTGGCTGGGCCGACGTGTCCACGGAGGGCCGCAGTCACTGCAAGGAGCCGTGAGCAGAGTCCGCTCAGCCTGGAGTAGCCCAGATGCTTCTCTATGCGCTGCTTCACAGCACGGCCCTCGCTGCAGCTCCCTGTAGGCCTCCCCATGCCAGGGAAGCCGGCTTTGCCCTCTTCACATTGGCGCGTGGGAACCACTTAGAATCATGCCTTTAAACACTCCCCCACTGAGGTCCTGAGTTCCATCCCTAGCACTTTCAGTCCCTGAGTGTACACACACACACACACACACACACACACACACACACACACACGGCGCTCAGGGAGGCAATGAGGAACAAGGCCAGAGAGGCTTCTAAGCCGTAGTAAGGACAAGTGTATATTCAGAGCTTATCAGGAAGTCGTCAAGAAGTTTTGAACATGAAGAGATTTTCGGAAGCCCACGCTGGTGCTGTGTGGAGACTCGTGTGGATGAGGGCAGGAGGGAAGCAGGGAGAACAGTCAGAGCCCTTTGCTACTTCTGGAAGAGACTGGCTGGTAGGAGCAGAGGTGTTGACAAGTGGACTCGGGATTTCACCAAAACGTAGCTGCAATAGGATTTGCTCCTGGGCACGTGGAGCGTATTAAAAGGGAGGAGAGGAGAATGCCAACGAGTCTCAACCTGAGCGGTGGGATTCGCATTGCCTTACGCCACAGTGGTGGGAACACAGGAGCAGTAGGTAAAGTGGGAGCGCAAGGCTCTCTCCATCAGCTCTGTCTGTCCAGGGGGGCTTTTAGAGATCCAAGACTCTGAGTGGCACTGATGCCGTAAACTGGGATTCCCCTTCAAAGCCCTGGAGCTGAATTTAAGTCACTCAGGGAGAAGTGAAGAGAAGAGGGAAGGCCAAGAACCAGGTTCTAAAAGATTCCACCGAGGAACAGAAGGAACAGCCAGAAAAAGGCAGACCAAGACTCAGGGATGGAAGGTTCTAGAAGCAAGGGGAGAGGTCAGCAAAGGTCATACCTCCTTCACAGGTCAGATCAGTGGTCCCCAGGGAAGCTCTGGGATTTGGGAGGGAGGCCAACAGGAAAGGGTGCAGATTTGAGCCCCGGCCTCTAGTGTTTAGACCACCTGCTGCTGTCTCCTCAAATTTGTGTGGCATGTGGACTTTTTCAGCTGGTTTTAGCCTTGGGCTCCCTGAAGAATCAAGGTCTGGGTGCCCTGCCCATGTCCCATCAAGGGAGAGGCCATCTGGCCTTCAGAACCATCTGTCTGGAATGACCCTGACAGTGACCGAAACCGGGTCATAATCAACCCCTGAGAAAACTCCCAGAGGAGTCCGGCAGTTTGGAAAAATAATGCAGAGTTTCTGTCAAGACCCACCTGGACACCCCGGCCCAGGCTCAGTGATGTGTTATCCAAAGAACAGCTCTCCCAGCCCATCTGCAAAGCTTTGTGATGCTTTGAGGCCAGAGTGATAGTAGAGCCAGTAGGAGCTGGCCTTGCATGTGGTAGACTTGGGTTCGATCCCTGGCATCCCATGTGGTTCCCTGAGCACTGCCAGGAGTAACCCCTGAGCATCTCTAGGTATGGCTCCAGTCCCCCATGCCCCCCACCCCAACCCCTCCACTGCCAAAATAAATAAATAAATAAAGCTTTGGAACCCTTTAATTTTTTAATCACAAAGAGATGGGGCTCTGCTCACAGCCTTGATCATTCCCTACTCGGGTTTGGGAGGTTGAGGGGGTATTTCCCACAGAGGTGGCTAGGCCACCAGCCACTCCTCAGGTGATTTCTGTCCGGAAGTCAGCGTGGAGAGCCTGACTCCTAGCTGGGAGCCAGACTGTGTAGCGCTTTGGTTCTGACGGATGGGTTTGCCCGCAGCCCTCTTCGTGACTGAGTCTTAGATCATCCCTGAAAGAATATCCCTCTTCTATCCGGCCGTGGCTCTCCCAGAGGAACCGTCCTGAGTCCCGTGGATTGCAGGCCCAATCTCCTTGGCAATAGCAGCAGAAAGCTGGGGCCTTTTCTTCCAGGGACTCGGAAAGAAAAGCCTTGCTGAGAACGCCCCAGAATCCCCAGACTTCAGAGAGCTGCTGGCTCTCGGGCCCCCGCCTGGACTGGGCCTTAACAAGGTTCAGGAGGTCCCTTCCTCTCCTTCCTCAGCCACCCAGGCCGGTCCATATCCCAGGTGATCGATCTCAGCAGCATGAGAAGGATGGACGGAAGCCGATGAAGCGAGATAAAACTTACTTCCCAGCTTCTTTGGGGCACAAGGCACACCTGGTGATGCTCAGGGGTCACTCCTGACTCTGAACTCAGTATTTACTCCTGGCGGTCCTCGGGAGACCATCTGGGGCGCCAGCAAGTGCCTGACCTGCTGTACTCTCTCCCCAGCCTCAAGCTTTTGAGGCATCTGAACCCAAGCTAGTCTCTTGGCGTGGCCCCTCTGTGCACCCTCCATCTAACCAGCATGTAAACACGCCTCCTCCTGGGTTGCGGCTCCTCCCTGCTTCCCAGAAGCTCCCTTAGGCACCTCACTGTCCCCACCCATGCCGCCCATTGAATGGGGTGCAGAGGAACGGCATTCCCAAACATCCCCCTCCCCAGGCCTCGGCACTGCAGAGGCCCACTCCAGAACCCCACTTAAGAAGAACCTCAGGTGGGCTGGAATGATAGCACGGGGGTTGGGCGTTTGCCTTGCACGCAGCCGATTCGGTTTGATTCCCAGCATCCCATAGGGTCCCCTGAGCACCGCCAGGAGTCATTCCTGAGTGCATGAGCCAGGAGTAAGCCCTGTTCATCGCCGGGTATGACCCAGAAAGAAAAAATAATAACATCGGGAGAGCAGCGCGAGCCTGGCCCCAGGTGTCGGCCCCCGGAGGAGGCCCCGTTGCCCTCAGCCCTGCTCCTGTTCAGACTCCCAGCCGCCCACTGTGAACCCCAGACTTTGGCCTCCACGCCTCCTCTGGGGATGATACTAACCCAAGCTTTGTGATTTCAGGGCCAAGACGGCGCTGCAGCAGTACCTGGCGTGACGGGCGCACCTCGGGCACCGGTGTGCACCCCGCCTCCTGGTTTCAGGAAGCACAGGAACTAGCCTCGTTTGATTCCTTCTATTTGCACAAGTCACCTTGGACTGCAGGGAGCTGTTTTGCAAAAGCAATTTGGTAGGCTTAGATCTCACCTTATCCGGAGGACGTTGCTCTCGAGGTGGCTGTTGTGTTTCGTTGCGTTTCGTTTCCGAGCTACCTGGACTCTTTATTAGAACAATCAATCATTTTCCTTTGGACCTACAATTTTTTGCCTATGCTGCAGCCACTTTGTGAGGGAGGATGAATGTGTCTGTACACACATGGTTGAATGTGTGTTTTCGTGTGTTTGTGGTGTGTGTTTGTGTGTCTGTGTATGCCTGTGGGTCAGAGTGAATGGGAGTGTGTGTGTGTGTGTGTGTGTGTGTGTGTGTGTGCATGTATGTGTGTGTGTGTGTGTGTGGGATACCTCAAGTTTTTCTTTTCTTATTTTGTGTGAAAATCTCTTTTCTACAGATTTTCCAGGGTTTAAGCATTGCTTGCTGTATAAAAACAAAAAGCAAAAAAAAAAAAAAGACACAAAAACAAAAAAACTTTACTGAATTATATACAGTTTGAATGAAATGTTATTTTAAAAGCAAAATAATTGTTAAGTGTTCCATAAAGGTTATGTTGAATTTTGGTCAGATGAATATTTGTAAGTAAAGAATATATGCATTTCTGAACCTCAACTTACATAGATTTTCTTTATATATAAAACAAACAAACAAAAAAAAAAAAAGAAAGAAAAGGAAAAAGGTTTGGCTGTAGCCGGCCGTGAAGCAGGTGCCTCTCTGGTGCTGTGCAGACCATCAGCGAACATCTTCCTGCCGTCAGAATCTGCAGGCCGGGGCCCATCTCCCACTCTCAGGCTTCAAGCAGGAGAGGGTGGAGAGGATGGAGACACCCATTTCCCAGGGCTTTTCTGCAGCAGCAAAGGGAAATACAACTACTGATAGGGAAGGCCCACCGGGGCCTGGGTGGGCTCTCCTGGGCAGGAAGTGGTGCCCACGGCCTTCGGGCCACTGGTTCCTGGCTCCTGGCAGGCGGGGTGCGGCGGTAGGTAGGTCATGGCCTCCCTGAGCCTCCCCGTGGGCCGCCTTGACCTCCTGAAACAGCATCTATCACTGTGACACTCGGGAGTGTCCCGCCGACAGACGCCCAGGACCAGCTAGTGTAGGAGCCTCCCTGGTCCCTCAGGACGCCACTCCGCGTGCTCTCCTAGACAGGCAGGTGGAGTCAGACCTTTTCCTCCCCGAAGCCGGAAGGACTGACAACCAGGCGAGGACAAGGACTCGCCCAGGACCACGGGCGGGCTTGTTTTTACAGCCAAGCCGCTTCGCCATAGTGCAGGCCCTGGACGAGCTGTGGGTCCGACGGGTGAACTCCTCAGGCCACTCTTGACTGTTCCGACCTGCCGTCTCCTGCCAGGCTGACATCACCACACTGCACCTTCCTTGGAAGATCTGAAATACGTTTGATTGCAGATGAATGTTTTTCATTGTATTTAATGCAATTCTCCCTGTTCGCAATATGACCGCCCAATACTCAAACACAGAGATTTCCAAGTTGTTCCCCACCCCCCACCCCCGGAGCATAACCACCTTGAGTTTTCAAGAGGGATCTGGGTTTTGTGCAGGCAGAGTGCTAATGTGAGAACGCAATTTAAAGAAAATCTCATTTTCTTCCAAACACACCTTAACTCACTCACTGACACTTCTAGTACGGAGAGAGTGTTTTGGGTTGACCTTCTAATACAGAACACAGTAGAGCCCCTGGTACCTAGGAGGAAAAACCAGTGATGAATTGCTGAGACAATCCCAACTAGCAGTAGGAAGCTGAAAACCCAATGAGAGGGCACTTGGACATGCACAGTCTGAGCGTCTGCGTGGCCTGTGAACACAGAGTTCAAGGGGAAAAAAAAGTGCTTTAACTCACGTTTCTGATTTGAATGAAGGAAAATGTATTTATTATGAAAATGGGGCTCTTGGCTGCCGGAGCACGGACGGGGGAGGCGGGGACGGGGTCTCTGTTTCACCAACTTCTAACCAAGCTTCTCGCTCCCTCTACTCTTGCATTCTGTTTCTCCTCTTGTGCCCTGATTGTAACCCCAAATTTATGAACTAGCCAAGAATGTCCGATTTCCTAAGTTGCATTTTTTCCCCCTTAAGCACTTTATGCAGAACAGTTCATGTTCTCCTGGTAGTGTTTGGATAATATGATTTTAACACATGCTAATAAAAGCCAAGAAAAAAACGTGGCAACTTTTACCAAAGGAGTCTGTGTTCCCGATGTTGAGAAACGTGATGGGTGATGCATCTGCCCTTTCACACCTGTGCTGCATGGTGACTCACGCATGGAAGGGACTTTGCCTTTCGAGGGGGGTCAGGGGGTCTGCAGCAGCAGGGGAACCCTGAAGCCCCTTAGCCCAGCTGGCAGGTCCTCATGTGCTGTGCAACCCTCCTCCCCACTGAGTTCAGCCACCCTCTCCTGTCTCTCCCATCCTGCCCTAGAGCGCCCCTCCCCCAGGAGAAGTCCCAGGTACTTCTGCCCAGAGACTGGGGCGAGGGGAGGGGAGGCCTCCCCCACACCCTGTGCCCTGGCTCTTTTGGGCCCCAGCACAAGGGAAGCTTGGGTGAGCGCACTCCCCGACCGAGGGACGCCCCCAAGCCCCGCCAGGCCGCCCTTCCTCCCTGTCTGCATGCTCCGAGGGGACAGGCCAGGGACAGCCCGAGGAAGGAGCCCCTCTCCTGGCATCGAGGGGTAGGGCCAGCCTACTCTGTGCCGAGGGCGGCTGTCACATGGGCGCCTCTCAGCATCCCCCTCTCCCCTGTCCCAGCCTCAGTCCTGTCGTGAACCTTTTGAGGCCAAGCAGAGACACCCACCCGGGTTCTGGAGGACAAGTGTGTCACCGTCTGCTCTCGACCTGGTTCTGGTGCCCTTCCCACCCCCGGCCTCCCGTCCCCAGTGCCGTCCCAGGAGAACAGAGCCCTGCGGACACCCTCTAGCCACTTCCTCCTTTCTCCCTGGTCACCCAGGCCTCTAGGTCCACCCCTGCATCACCCACTCAGCCTCGTGGGCCCTGTGAAGGGCTCCAGGCACTGGGCAGCCCGAGGTGGGCACATGCCAGAAAATTTCTATTTGGAGCCCTCAAAAAGGGAAGAGTGTGGTCCCAGAGGTCCCAGAGGGACCATACCTGAGATCCGGAGCCCTGGGGTCATTTTCTGGGCAGATTGTGTCCGTGACGCCTCCATGGAGCCCCTCAGCCCCCTCCCCACCACCACCACCCCAGGCACCATAGCAGGTGCTGGTAAGCTCAGTGGGTAGGGGCAGGTCCCGGGAAACCTCCCACCACGGTCACAGGCCTCGGCCCCCAGTTGCCCACAGTCTGGCGTGTCCCATGCAAGTGTCTCACGGGTGAAGACACCTGGTCTTGTCAGGGGCTGGAGGGAAAAGCCACTCAGAGGGAAGGTCCTAACAGTTCTCCCTGAGGCCTCCTGCATCCCTCAGGGCACCCCTGGGGCACTGAGTGTGGAGCCTGCAGTCTTTTGATTAGGCTCAGTCTGAATCTCGACAATGCAGGTAATTGAGATGAGTGAGGCTCACTGGACCCCTGGGGCGATGCTGTCTCAGTACAGGCCTGTCCCCATACTTCGAGAGGGGAGCATGTGAGAGGAACAGGCAGCCCCGTCCCTGGCTAGCCTGCCTGGACCCACCACAGCCAGTCTCACGGGCCTGGGTTTAAGTTCACACCAATATAAGCTCTAAAGATGGTTTTGTTCCTAAGGTGCATTTGTTGTGGTCACAGTCCCCTGAAGTGAAGGCCCATCTCAGGGTTCAGGACGCCTGTGCTGATGGTAAAATCCCAGAAACATACACAGAAAAGTTGATATTCCATATATTATTTAATAAGGCAAGTCTCTACAGTGATGTTCGTGGTCTGTGGAAGACAGCTAACTCCAAAAGGTGCTGAAGTTTGAGTTCTAGAATTTTCCATGCGTGCAGCCTCACCCTGGCTCCCACTCTTAGGCCTTGTCTTCAGGGCAGCCAGGCGCTTCCTGGGATGCCACTGCTCCTTTGGCCGTGTGGCCTGTGGGGTGACAGATTCTCTGTGCGACTCAGAGGCACGGCCCTGTCCCAGTCTGCTATCCCATAGGGAGCCCATAGAGTAGAGGAAAGGTCAATGAGAGACAGTGTGTGTGTGTTGGGGGTCAGTAAGAGACAGCGGCTGTGTGTGTGTGTGTGTGTGTGTGTGTGTGTGTGTCGGGGGTCAGTGAGAGACAGCGGATGTGTGTGTGTGTGTCGGGGGTCAGTGAGAGACAGCGGATGCGTGTGTGTGTGTGTGTGTGTGTGTGTGTGAGGGGTCAGTGAGAGACAGCGGATGCGTGTGTGTGTGTGTGTGTGTGAGAGACAGCGGATGCATGTGTGTGTGTGTGTGTGTGTCAGGGGTCAATGAGAGACAGCGGGGGTGTGTGTGTGTGTGTGTGTGTGTGTGTGTGTGTGTGTGTGTCTGGGTGGGCTCTCAGCCTTACTGCCTTCCATCTTTACCTCAGCCCCTTATTAGGGATCAGCAACTCCTTTTTCACAGATACAGTTTGCACCCCTTTCAAAAAAAAAAAAAAGGCAACTTTCCCCAGACCTATGGAGCTGATAAACAGTGGAGCCACAGTTCAAACCCATGTCTTAGAGCCTTGACCTCTACCCCTCGGTGGACAGCCCTGGGTCAGCTGAGCACCCACTCCTGACAGCTGAGAAGGCCTCGGAACAGGCCAGACTGCGTCACCAGGCAGAACACATGGTGCCCAGGTGTGGTTTTCACTATCCCGCTACGTCACCAGGCAGAACACATGGTGCCCAGGTGTGGTTTTCACTATCCCGAGGTAGAGGGGGAGGCGTAGACGCCCTCAAGGAGGCCTCCTCTCCCCCCTTCCCATACGATACTGATGAGCCGGACCTCTTACGGGGAGCTGAAGCTGGGGGAGAGGGGCCCAGCCAAGGTCTGAAGGAGGGAGCAGTGGGGTTCGAAATCAGAAGCAGAAGCTTTAATGTCCCCTAAGCCTCTGGGAACATGACCCCAGAGTTAGAACGCAACAAGCCGTCTGCAAGAAAGGCAACACTAGGAAAGAACCAGCTGGGACTGCCGCTAAGGTGGTGGCTGATACGCTGAAGGTTTGTGTACACGTATACACACACACACACACACACACCACAAACACTGCTCCGGTTTCCGAAGACTGTCCACTGGGCCCACTCACCCGACTCCCGGCGTCCAGGGAAGAGCAGGCCCAGCTCCCGGCGGGCAGCCTCACCATCCTGGCTCCCGTGGACGGCATTGAAGGGCAGCTCGGTGCCATACTGGGCCCGCAGGCTGGGAGTGGGGCATAAGGGCGGGAACGGCAGCGTCAGTGAAGGGCGATGCGCTGCTGGCCGGCCCCGGGGGTCCTGCTACCCACCAGCCCCTTTTCTCACAGCAGCCGGCAAGGCGGCCAAGGCAGATGGGCACCAACTCTGAGCAGGGACAGCTGTGTCACTGTCCATTCCCTCCTTGGCACTTGGGGACCTCACAGTGGCATAGCCCTGCCCCCCACCACGCTGCTCGGGTTTGCTGGGTGCCAGGCACTGCGCTCTCAAAGCCCAGGGCGGGTCTTGGCAGAGTTCCCACTTTTCAGATGTGGAAGTTGAGGCACTGAGGGGTTGAAGTATGGCCCAGCTACATACAGGAAGAAGAGGAATTCTTGGCTAGGGAAGTAACACCAGAGCCCTAGGGGCTAGGAGATGGTACAGCGGGCAGAGCGCTTGCTCGCCCTTCATGTAGCCAACCCTGGTTCAGTGCCTGGCACTGCATTTGATTCCCTGAGCACAGTGCCAGGAGTAAGCTCCGAGCACAGCCAGATGTGGTCCCAAAACAAAACAAAAGAGATGAACCCAAAAAAATCCCAGGTCTAATCCCTGGCACCATGCAGTCCCCAAGCATTGCAGCAAGAAACCCAAGCACCTCCGGATGTGACCAAAAAGAGGGAGGCTGCAGTTTCTGCTCATCCCGGATGTTCACGGCAGAACTCTCCCCGCGTCACCATGTAGGCTGACCCTCAGGATGGAGTTGCTGCCCTGTGCAGTGACACCCCCCCACACACACTGCCCCTGCTAGCTCGGGTGTCACGTGGGTGCTCCCAGCCCTATCCCATTCCAGGGTACGACCTCAGGTAAAGTAAGAGCAGCTGCTAGCCAAGGCCCTGGTTCATCTGTCTGCTGGGCCCCTCAGCTTCAAGGGCCAGTCGGGCTTGCCTTGGAAGTGCCAGGACGGGTACCCAGAGCCCAGGAGCAGACCATCTTGTGCCTGTGGTGTGCAGAGACAGGCCAGCGGCCTGAGGGGCTGTCGGGAAGGGGCTGGGGGGCTGGAGGCCACATCTCTTCTGGGATCTGGATCTGTTTCCGGGGTGAGTCTCGCAGGAGCCAGGGGAGTCTCTCGATGCAGAGAAGACTGGATTGGGCAGAATGTTTTGGGGGACAGCCTGGATCAGGCGGAGGAGGGGAGAGGGCAGTGGGAGGCACTCAGCCAGGGGCTGGAGGGGGTCAGTTTCTCAAATACATAACAAAGAGAGGGAGACCCTCCAGGGCTCACCGCAACCCTGGATGTGAGTTTTAAGATGATGAAAGGAGGCAGGGTCACCTGTCTGGCTGCTCCCTCCTGGCCACGTTGGGGTCACAGGGCCCCATGAGGGTCTGCCAGGCGCTGACCACGTCCTCGGAGCCCTTGGTGCTGGTGAGGATCAGGAGGTGACTGCGTCCAGCGGACATATGACGCACCAGCTTCTCAAAGGCCTCCTGGCACGGGAAGGGAAGACAACGCCAGAGGAGGGCAGGGGTGAGGGTCAGCTGCCCCCAGAGACCCGGGTGCAAGTGAAAGACAGAGAAGAGAGGCAGGCCTGGGTGCCTGGCTCAGGCTGGAGTGAGAGCACAGCGGGGAGCGTGCTTGCCTTGCATGCAGCTGACTCAGGGTCCATTTTTGATACTGCAGATGGTCCCCTGAGCACTCCGGGAATGATCCCTGAGTGCAGAGCCAGGAGTAAGTCCTGAGCACCACCAGGTGTGCCCCCCACCTCAAAAAAAATTTTTTTTAAATAATAAAGGCACCTAAACTAACACCCAAGAATGGCCGAGATTAGTACCAGGAATTTTGCTCCATGGCTTGGAGGCCAGTTACACATGCTAGGGGAAAAGGGAGCTCAGATAGAGAAGGGAGCACCAAATAAAGGGTATTGGGAGGATCCTCCCAGGATGGGAGAAGCATGCTGAAAGTAGACTATAGACCAAACATGATTGCCACTCATTGCCTCTTTTGCAAATCACAACAACACTCAAAAGGAGAGAGAGAACAAAAGGGTGAGATGGGGGGAATGGGGGGTGGGAGGGATACAGGGATCTGTGGTGGTGGGAAATGGGCACTGGTGGAGGGATGGGTATTTGATCATTGTATAATTGAAACCCAAGCACAAAAATGTGTAAGTCTACAACTGTACCTCATGGTGTCTCACTAATAAAAATTAAAAATAATAATAATAAAGAGACTGTGTGAGGTCAGAGATGCTGGAGGCATGGGAGAGGTGACATTGGCTGGGGCCTGTTCAGTGCCTTACAGCCCTTCCTCCTGCATCCCTGTAACTGCACTCTTATTTTCCTATGGGACACCTCTTCCCACGTCACTTGTCCTAGGCTGGTTGACAGCCAGGCTGTTGCTGGACACCAGAGGCACAGTTGCCGGTCCCACTGCCAACCCCAACTATGTCGTTTTGCTCCTGAGATCCTTTTCCCCAAGACCTCCTTGTCCTCTTCCTTCAGTTCTGGGAGTTCGGGAGGTTCCTTCCAACCAATTCCTTATTCCTTGCAGAAGCCCAAGTTAAAACTTCCTCACAATGAAGGGGCCTCGAACTGCTAACAGCTGTGGTGATTCCGAAAGCAAATCAGGGCTGGCACGTCTCAGACTGTCCCTCCCCTTTAGGAACCAGCCTGTCCAGACTGTAAGGCTCTGGGAAGGATGGGGCAGTTGCCAGCCCCGGAACACAGAGGCCCAACCTCGCCAGCTCGGTGTTGGTAGAAAAGCCGCGCTTCCTCCTCCGTCATGGTTCTCTCCTCATGTGTGACGATGTCGAAGCCGGCCTCCTGGATCTGGAGATGACAAGTATACACGATGCGGAGGGCAAAGCCAGCCTGAGGCCACAGGGAATGTAGCCACTGAAGACCTCAGACTCTCATCCCCATGGCAACTGTCAGGACCCTAAGTCAACTCTTTACTGAGTCCAAGCACAACAGTGAAGCCTCAGCATTCTCTTTCCATGGGGGCTGGAGCAATAGTCCAGTGGCTACAGCACTTGCCTTGCACATGGCTGACCCCGGTTCAATCCCTGGCATCCCATAAGGCCCCCTGAGCCCCACTGGGAGTGATCCCTCAGGGCAGAGCCAGGAATAAGCCCTGAGAACTGCTGGGTGTGGTTCCCAAAACAAGAACAAAACATTCTCCACCCCCGGGGTGCCAAAATCTTAGAGCAGAGTGCTCCCCGACCCCCCTAGTTCAGCGCCAGCGATGGCACGAGGAGTTGGGACCTGCAGTGGCTGGGATGAGGCTCTTACCTTCATGATGATCTCCTCCGCCTTGCCGTGAGCCACTGCCTCGGGCTTGATGATGGCCACGGTGTATGACTTCCCTGAGGAAGCTGCAGGGAGCCAGGAGGTGCCGAGATGACACCCCCACCCCCACCCCACCAGCCTCTGCACAGGCTCCTAGGCCCTCAGAGCTCCCCAGCCCACCCCACCCCCACCCTCTTCTGGCTCCAGGTCAGGGCTCTTAACCTTTTCCCGCTCATGACCCGTTTATGGCCAAAAAGAACCTGAACAGACCACACAGTGAGCACCCAGTAGTAAAGTTCTTACGTCAGTCTTGGTCATGGAATGCTGAGAAATTCAAACTGTTGCTGAATAACTCACACCCTACCTCGTGCCCCCCACATTCAGTTCCAGAACCCCACAGCTGCCCATGAGAACACACATCTCAGGGGACACACACACACATGCACATACACACATGCGAACACACATATGCACATACACACATGCGCACATACACACATGCACATGCACACACACATATGCACATACACATACATGCACACGTGTGCATACACACATATACAAACACACACACCCCAAGTGTCCTGTTCCCCAGGAGTGGCTGGGAAGCCTCAGGCCCAGGCTGCTCAGCTGATCCTTGGGGTTGGGGACGGGTCCAGGGCAGCTTTCTGGTCCTTTGGAATGAAAGAAGTCTGAGTTCTTGGCTTGGTGAAGTCAGGACCCTGCAGTATTCTCGCTTCATATGGCAAATCATCACGCTCCATTTGTGGTTTTTGGTTTAGTTTTTGAGCCGCTGGAGGCTACTCCCAGCTCTGTGCTCAGAGGTTGCTTCTGCCAGTGTTGGGACACCCTACAGTGCCAGGGGTGGAACCCGGGTGTCCTGCTGTCTCCCTCGCCACTGAGCCATGGTTTGCCTTTGGGAATGCACATGGTGTTCACTCATGTGTGACCCAGACACCAGGCATCTACGAGTGGCTAGAACTGTGAGTGGGGCTGAAGATGCTCTTCAAGGGCAGATGGGTCATTGCACACTGTAGGCTTGCGGTCAGGCATGGACAGAGCATCCAGTGGACTGTCACTAACTCCAGGTTGCTCAATATGTTCTGGAGTATGTTTTTTTGTTCTTGTTTTTTGTTTTTGCTTTTGGCACAGGGGTTACTACTGGCTCGTGCACTCAGGAGTAATTCCTGATGGTTCTCAGGGGATCATATGCTGGGTTGACTGCATGCAAGGCAAACACCCTACTTGCTATGCTATCGCTCCAGCCCCTGGAGTATGATTTTTTTTTCTTTTTGGGTCACACCCAGCAATGCTCAGGTGTTACTCCTGGCTTTGCACTCAGGAATTACTCCTGGTGGTGCTTGGGGGACCATATGGGATGCCAGGGATCGAACCCGGGTCCACCGTGTGCAAGGCAAATACCCTACCTGCTGTGTTATCACTCCGGCCCCTGGAGTATGTTTTTAAAGCACATCTTGGGTCAGAGAATTAGTATAGGGATTAAGGCCCTTGCCTTGCACACGGCTGACTCTGTTTTGATCCTCAGCACTCCATGTGGTCCCACAAACACCACCAGGAGTGATCCCTGAGCATAGGAGCCAGAAATAGATTCCTGAGAACTGTGGGATATGGCTCAAACACAAAAATAAAAGGGCCGTGTGGGATATCATGGGGGTTAAGGTACATGCCCAGCATGTCGGCCCAGGCTCCATCCCAGCAACATACAGTCTCCTGAGCACTGCCGCTGGAGTCCCGGGCACTTCCCAGAACCACAGGCCCGAGCAGTCACAGTCTCGGACCGTTACCTTGAAACATCGGCCTGGTTAGCTGAAAATCCTCAGGAGGGCCCCCCCAGGTTCCCCCACAAAACTTAGTGATGGGATCTCATGTGTTTCTTAGCCTTCTCCTGCATGCTGCTCCCGCATCACTCACCTACATCCTCATGGTCACCATCGTCCTGCTCATGGGAAGAACGTCCCCCAGCCCCACAGAGCACTTCATCTTTAATCTGGAGCAAATTGTAACAGACAGTAATTACTACTTTAAATTACCACGAAGACCTGCAAAACCCCATAAAAATAAATAGAGGCCAAATCCTAATAGAGGAAGGGGCAGGGTGGTGTGGGTGCTGCACGAGACAGGGTTTTGGTTTGTTTGGATTTTAGGATCACAGCTGGCAGTGTTCAGGGCTTATTCCTGCTTCTGGGCTCAGGAATTACTCCTGGTGGTGCTTGGAGAAACATAGGAGATGCCGGAGATTAAACCTGAGTTGGCCATGTGCCAGGCAAACCTCCCCACTGTGCTGTCTCTCCAAACCCAGGATGGGACCATTTTAAGATGATCTGGCTGAGAAGAATCTCTGAACAGAGCAGCTCCAGAACAGAAATCCACTGCAGAGATTTCTCCAGACCCTAATTATCTGGAATTTTGGAGTTCCAGAAGCATATGGCTGCTCTTGCGGCCGCATGACATCTTATGCTATTCATAACAAACAATAAAAAAAGAGAGTATGGAGGAGATTGTCTTACATAGAGGCAGGGGGAGATGTGGGATGGGGGACATACTGGGGTTCTTAGTGGTGAAAGATGTGCACTGGTGGAGGGTTGGGTGATCGATCATTGTATAACTGAAACTCAAACAGGAAAGCTTTGTAACTGTATCTCACAGTGATTAAAATAATAACAGTAAAATAATAATAAAATAAAATTAACATTCTGAATCAAAGTTGTAATGTGGAGTTAATGCCCAATTCAGTCAGCTTAATCAATGGCTGAATAAATAGCAGTACTCCTACATTTAAAAAAAAATAGATGATCAGGATGGAACCATTATGTGGGTAGGGAAACCAGGCTGATCTCATGGTGCAATTCTGCCTGCTTTCCAGAAAGGCAAAGGGAAGAGGGATGGAGAAGGAAAGGCTGGAAGCCAGGGAGGGTCGGGGAGGGGCAAAGGTGTTTTCCCCTGGAGCGCCTTGGAAAGAGAGTGGGACCAGAGCATGGCCAAAGCGAGGGGAGTAGCCCTGATGACCCCCAAACACCACCCATTGTCCTCTGGGTTGAGGGCAAACAGGTGAACAGAGGGCTGCAGAGTGAGCCTCACTGGCAGGTGCCGACCCATAGATGTCACCTTGCCCAGGCCATGCCCCTGTCAAAGGTGGCCAGTTCTGTAGGAAAGTGCCCCAATGCACGGAGCTCAACTTCCACTGGAAAGGAGGGAGACCTCTGGTACTGTCCCCCCCAAAAAAACCTTCCGGAGCATGAGGAGAGCTGGTCACCGAGCGTGTCACCCACCCTGTGAAGTGTGATCGGTTGTCCCTGCTGAGTTTGTGCTCGGGGCCCAGAAAGTCTGGCTAAGGCTTGAGTGGGGGAGAAAACGCTTCCAAGGGGGCAAGGGTCAGGACCAAGGCGACTTCCTCTAAGAAGGTTTCAGAAACACGCCCCCAGGGGCTTGGGGCCCGCAGGGGTGGGGCATTATGAAATTTTGCAGGGGCAGCTCCAGGCCTCGAACGATCAGGACTCGAGCGCTGACGGGGCCTTTCTGGGGGGACCCCACCTCCTCTGGCCCGTCTCACCGCTCGCCGCTCCCCGCCTTCAGCCAGCACCTTCTTCTCGGCCTCCAGCTGGTCCAGGATGGTTTTCTCCAGGAGGGGGGCATTGGCTCCCCTCACCACAGCCACAAGCTCGCCCCCCTAGAGTGCAGTGAGTCAGACACGGACATGGGGCAGAAGTCTCTGGTGCTTTGCTTCCCAGCGGACTCAGGGGTCTGGCCCACCCGTGCCAGAGCTTCCCTCGGCCCCCGGTCAGCACAGGACAGTCTCCTGGGAGGGTGGCTTCTGGGGGTTCATTCCCAAGGACCACTCTGAGCACCATGGCAGCCAGCAACAGAAGCCCAGTTTGTAGGCCCTTCCCCGCCTCTGTCAGAGAAAGTCCCAGATGCCAGGACAACTGCACAGTGGAGAAGGGTCACCCAAAATGATGAGACCCAGATGCATCCCGCAGGAGGGAGCGCCCCTACCCACCACTGCCCGTTCAGGCAGGGAAGAATCACCCCAAATGAAGGGCATCGCCCCCGAGAACCTGGCAGCTATTTGAGGGTCAGGGAGGCCTCTGGGGGACCCAGTGAGAACTAAAGGCAGTGACACGCCTCTCTGAAGACGGGCTTACCGCGTAAAACAGAAAGGTGGGCTCACACCTCCCTCGGTACCTCTCAAGGACATCAAGACAGTCAGCCTCAGCCTGAGGAAACAAGCCCATAGGTGGGGCTCTGGGGAGAGGCTCAGGATCACAGGAACAGTTCACAGCCTCACCTCCACACACCGCACACACACCCCACATACCACACAATCACACCCTCACACTCACACACACACACACACCACCTACCACACCTCACCTACTCATCCAACACATACCACCTACCACATGTACACACACACCCGCACCATCTGTATCACAGTCCCACACCCACTCCCACCTCTCCTACCACATATCCCACACCATCTACCACACACAGAACATAAAGGTCACACCACACACATGCCACCGACACACCACCTACCACCAGACTCACACACACACATTCCCACATCACCTACCTCACATTCACACACCACACAAACACCATCTACCACCACCCACTCACACCCCACACCACCCACTAGATACACACCACACATACAAACCACTTATTACCCATACTCTCACAACAACACCCCTCAATACTACACACACGCTCACACACACCGTCCACATGCACCCTCCTTCACATTCCCCACAATCATACACGTACCCAGCTCCCCCCAGCCCGCGTACCACGCCTATCCCCCACCCTCCCCTACACCCCCACCCTCCTCATTCTCTCCTCGGAATCTCAACTTTATCTGGGAACAAAGTAGTTGCCCAGGTCTTCCCAGCAGCCGGTCTCGGCTTCTTTCTTCTGGGCCTGCTTCCAACCTCATTCCTGCCTCTGGCCTCTGGCCTAACACTTCACCCCCTAGTCTCATCCCTGGGTCCCATTGATGGGATTTTTGCTTGGAGCATGCTGGGGGCCCGGCTGAGAAACAGAGTTGGAAGAACAGAATGAGGAGACTGTTTCCCTGCTCCCGGCCAGAGGCTGCTCGGGCACGGGGGACGCAGCACCACCGCGACAGCCTGAAACACCCTCCAGGGTGTCCTTTCTTGTCTGCAGCTAGGCACCAGGACACCCCTGGGCTACTCCAAGGAGGAAGTGTAGCCTTGGAGGCCAGACTGCATGAGAGAGAAGCTTCTGGAACTTTCTCCCATGTTCTTGGCCTGGGAATCTCACATCCAGGCGGCAGCATGCAGTTCTCGAACACGTGCCTGGAACTGACACTCGTTCCCTATCCTAACCCATACAAACAGCAGGCTTCCCCTCTATGGAGCAGAGACCTGGAAATCCTGGCCCCCTGGGCAAGAGGCCTACTAGGGGACTCCAGAGAGAAGCTCTTGGCATGGGGGGTAGGGGGTGAATGTCAGTCTGCATCTCTCGAGAAATATGAAAAAGTGTCCAACCAACTCCCAGCCTTCCCCAATCTTCAAGGCAGCCCCCAGCCCTGGCCCCGCCCGGGTTTAACACCTCCACCATGCTGTGGGAGGTTCTTACTAGTGCAAAATGCAGGAGGTCCATGCCCAGCTCAAGCCTCAGCTTCTGGAACAGGCTCACGACAGGCTTGCAGGGGCCACACCAGCCTTGGTAGACATCAACCACTGCATGGACAGAAGAAGAGGCACTGGGTGGGTACCCAATCCCAGCCTACCAGGCACCAGGTGCTTCTGGGCAGGAAATGGAGCATGAAAGGCACTTCTGAGCCCAGCAGGGCCTGGCCAGGTGCTGATGAAGCTCAGGTGAAAGGATCTGGGGCCCGCAGTCGCCCTTCTCTTTGTGGTTCTGTGCAACATTTAGTAAGGCACAAAGGAGGGATCTTGGAACTGGAGAGATCAGTCAGTGAGTAAGGTACTTGCCTTGCACATAGCCAATGCTGTCTTGATCACTGGCACCCCATATGGCCCCCTTCGCTTACCACCAGGAGTGATTCCTAAGTCAGAGCCAGGAGTACTCTCTGAACACTGGGTGTGGCCCCAAAACCAAAAAAATAAACCAATAAAAAATTTTAAATAAAATAGTGGATGTCAACATTAATTAACATGAATTACCAGTTAGTCCTCTGGAACCGAGCATCTCTTCCCACAGTTCCTGGGTGCTGATGTTGACCTAAAAGAATGAATCAGTGTTACCAAGGATACAGATAAGGAGCAGTTTGATGTCTTTGCTCCAAGTCTTTCTAGCTCTTTCTCTACTCCATCTGATGCCGAAATGGCTACAGATACAGCTCAGATCTCTCTGTCCCTTCCTCACTGCTCCCTCTCTCTCCGGAATGACTAAGCTCACACCTTCCCCCTTCCCCATCTTCTTCCCTACCTCCTTTGGTGCCAGAGAAAGAATTCAAGATCTCACACTGTGGGGAGGGGGGGTGGGGCTGGAAAGTGCCTGACTGCTAAGTTACACCCCAGCCCCTGATCTGTCTTTCTTTCTCTTCCTTTCTTCATTTCCAGAAGAAATCACCCTAAAATCCCAAACATTTTAACAAGCAATTGTTGCTTATCAAAAAACAACTTAGAGCATCATTTTGTGTCCTATAAAATGTGCCCAAGTATTATCATGCTTCAATGTTCTTTTGCAATTTGTATTTTCACTCAACATAATGTTTTGCTATTACCAATACTTTGTTGAAAGTTATTTGTTAAAATTAAAGTTCTGAATAAACTAAACTTCTTTATGTTCAATAGGGTTGGACAGGTGCATGAATACAGTCTTTACCGTGCCACTGCTGTAACACATTCCACAGGACAGAATGTACTGCCACCCCAGAAAATCCCTTGTATCTCTTTTCAGCTACTTCCTGCTTCTTGCCAGAGGTAAAACCCTTATCTGCTTTCTGTCACACATATTCATTCTGTCTGATCTAAAACATCACATGTTCTCATTAGAGGCTGGAGCGATAGCACAGTAGTAGGGCGTTGCCTTGCATGTGGCCGACATGGCCAACCTGAGTTCAATTCCTCCACCTCTCTCGGAGAGCCCGGCAAGCTACCAAGAGTAGCTTGGCAAAGCCTGGCAAGCTCCCCGTGACGTATTTGGTATGCCAAACACAGTAACAAGAAGTCTCATAATGGAGACGTTACTGGGCCCGTTCAAGCAAATCGATGAACAACAGGAGGACAGTGCTACAGTGCCCTCTTTATTCTGTGCTGGCTTCCTTCTCAGGACTTGTCTGTGTAGTTCGATGTCAGTGGCATATTCATGTTTATTCCTCATCAGATTCCAATGTGACTATTCCATCCCAGTGGCTTGACAGGTACCCAAGTTACTTCCAGTTTGGAGTTATTATGAATAACGACTGTGATCACGCTTGAACCTTTTTGCTTCTGTGTTTCCTTGGTAAATAAGTCACGAGGAGTGATGCTGCTGGAACTCAGGGCTTGAGCACGCTTCATTGAATATGCAATGGCCAGCCCTTCTCTTAATGTGAGGGACAGTCTAATGTGGAAAATGGAAATGTTACAGTTTACACAGTGTCACCAAAATTTGATGATGTCAGTCTTTTAACTTGTGACCAACTAATGGAAATAGTGTGGTAAATTTCTTTGGGCTTTAATTTCATTTTATTGGTAATTGATGGTGTCTAGCGAGCTCCTTTATTTAATGTGCATATCCATCCTTAGTGCCCACAAACTGGTCATTTTCTTTTAAAAACATTTTTTGTTTGGGGGGACCCACACCCAGCAAAGTCAGGCATTACTCCTGGTTCTGCACTCAGGAACCACACCTGGCAGTTGCTCAGGGAACAGTATGGGGTGCCAGAGATCAAAAACCGGGTCAGCTGCATGCAAGGAAAATGCCTTACCTACTGTACAATGGCTCTAGCCTCTGTCCATTTTTTTTGTTGTTGGATTGTTAGCCTGTGTGTGTGGATGCACATGCACTTGGTAGGAATTAAATCCAAGGCCTCAAACATACCAAGCATGCACTCTCCCACTGAGCTACATCCCCTGGCTGGATTGTTGGCCTTTTATTATTAGATTGTAAAGGGTCTGTGAATATATACCTCCTCTAAAATCTAATGAGCCTTTGTAATATGTATTGTAAATATTTTCGCCAACTCTAGTTTGTCTATTTCCTTAACAATGTCTTCTGTTGAGCAGAAGTTTTTAATATTAAAGTCTAATTAACAAATGTTAGGTTATGGTATTTTGTGTGTTCTAAGAAATCTTTCCTCAGAGTCACAAAGATCCTCTTTTTCTCTTTCAAGACATGCTATAATTTAAGCTCTTACTTTTAAGTCTGTGATCCATCTGGAATTGATTTTTCTCTATATTGTATAGTAAGGGCTGGTTGATTGCAGTTATTGTTGCAAAAAATGTGGCAAAATTTATTTTCCTATCATATTGCTTTGGTACCAATGTTGAAAGCCAATCGACAACGTAACAAGGAATAATTACTGTAGTTTTGTGTAAGTTTTTCTTGTTTTGCTCTACAATTTTTTTTTATTTATTTATTGAATCACTGTGGGAAAGGTTACAAAGCTTTCAGGTTTATGTCTCAGTCATGCAAATATCAAACACATTTCCCTTTACCAATACTTATTTTTTCCCATGAAGAACCCCAATAAAACCCCACCCCCCACCCCTCCCCGTCCCTGTGAGGCAGATGAATTCTAGTTAACACTCTATCCGCTTTGATTAGATTGTTTCAATAAAAGACTCACCACTATTATTTAGAGTTTACCCCCCCCCCCCCAAATCAGACATGCTGAAAAAGCATTGTGAAGTGATTTGCTTTCTACAGCTGGGTTCAAGAATTAAATGTTGGTTTTGGATTTCTGCTATTTTACCTATTGACCCTGGAAGTATTTCTACTGAAAGTCAGATAGTTAAGAAATTGGTTTCTGTGTTCTGGAGTCGTGGCCGTGCTGGAGAGCCGCTCGTGGGGGGCAACTGGTGGCCTCGGTAGGGCGTGAAGGGCGGAGCGAAACGCTCCCCTTCCCATGAGGTTTTAGTCGCCCCCACACTCCCGGCTCATACCTGCTGTCCACAAGGCTCCCATGTGGCCGCCATCTTTCTTTCCAGAGAGGATACAATTTTTTTTTTTAAATACCTCAAATACTACTTTTTCAAAAAAAGCCTTTGGTAAAGAGGAGAAAAGTGGTTAACAAGTAATTTCCCCCTAGTCTGCAGTGGGCTGACAGTCTCTGATAGAGATAAGTTGAATTTTTCTGGAAGGTGGACAAAAGAGTGAAGTTGGACTTTAACCTCCGGAGAGGAATCGGGCATGTGGTTTTCTTGGACACAGACAGGTGAAAGTTAGGGGTCACAGAACAGACGCCCACATTCTGGTCTTCGGGGAAGTTGCGAGCACTGAGCTACACTGATGGGCAAAGTCCCTTCTAGGCAATTCCTGGCCATCTTCATGTTTGCCTTAGCAAGCTCTGGTCGCAGTGCTGGCTGAATTTTGGGATCCCCGGGGCTGCCACTCAAAGCTTGCTTCATAGCTCTGCCTGTGCGCGACTGTCAAAAAACGGACAGAACCGGAAGCTCGGCCGCGCAGCCTCAGCTCGCCCGGTCTGGAGCCCCCACTCCCACTCCCAACCCCCGGTTGGATTCGAGGGGGTAACCACTGACAAACAAGGTCCGGACTTTCTCCCAGGCGTTGCCGGCCTCGCCGGATGCTTCGCCGATGCTCGGGATCCTGCCTCCTAGGGAAGGGAGGCAGGGCTGGGCGCGGGCACGCTCGCCCACTTTCCCTTTCCGGCCGTGGGAGCTTTGGGAAGGAGGGAAGGAAGAAGGGAGAAGCCTAAGCACTGCGGGATGGTGGGGAGGGGACGTCTAGGGAGGCGAGCGATGAGGAAGAGGACGCTGGCAGCCGGACGCTGATGCTCCTTCTCCCAGCGCTCTCCCAGGACGGGGCGGGACCAGGAGGGGCGTGGCCAGGCCAAGCCCCGCCCCGCTCACGCGCAAGGTCAACAGCGACGCCCCGGAGCGGGTAGCGGTCCCCAGCCGAGGAAGAAGGGACCAGGGTTTTGGATGCTGGAGAACTTGGCCTCTCCACCTCCCCAACCCTGCGTCTACCCCGGAGCCGCTGTCTTTGTTAAAGGACCGGGCGTGGACGAGGGTTGGAGAATCCACGAGTCCACGACCAAAAGTGATCGAAAGCTTAGAGGACAGTTTAACCGAGGGGACAGTCTCACGCGAAACGCTGGCTGGGCACTATGACCTCATGTTGGGAGGGACATCGACTGCACGAGTCTCCCCGGGGAGGGGACTGACTCCTGTGTGTGGTGCCCCAGCAGCTGGGAATGCAGGGTGAGGGAGCGCCCAGATCTCCTTTGCAGAGTGGGAGGCATCTGGAGACCAGACATCCAGGACGAAGCGCAGAGGAGCCGAGAGATAGAGACAGTACAGACCCAACTGCAAGATTCACGATGAACATAGACTATAGACCGAACATGATTTCCACTCAATGCCTCTTTTGCAAACCACATCACCCAAAAGGAGAGAAAGAACAAAAGGGAAATCCCTCTCACAGAGGCAGGGGGGATGAGGGGGATGGGGGGTGGGAGGGATACTGGGATCAGTGGTGGTGGAAAATGGGCACTGGTGGAGGAATGGGTACTTGAACGTTGTATAATTGAAACCCAAGCACAAAAATTTGTAAGTCTACAACTGTACCTCATAGTGTTTCACTATCTGTCTGTCCTCCCTTGTTCATCGATTTGCTCTAGCGGGCCCAGTAACATCTCCATTGGAGACTTTGTTGTTACTGTGTTTGGCATAACGAATACATCACAGGTAGCTTGCCAGGCTCTGCCCTGGGGGCGAGATATTCTTGGTAGCTTGCGGGGTTCTCTGAGAGGGGTGGAGGAATTGAACTCGGGTCAGCCATGTTGGCTGCGTGCAAGGCTAACGCCCTACCGCTGTGCTATCGCTCCAGCCCAGTGTTTCACTAAAAAAAATTAGATAAATAAAAGCTCAGAAGGTGGAGTAAGACAGTGGAACAGTTCGGAGTCTCTAGGTATTGGTGTCTGGTGACCCTCGTGCTTCAGGAGGCTTTACAAACTGAAATCATTTCAAGAGCCTCTCCACCTTCACTTCAGAGGCTCTGGTGGCTTTCAAACTGTCCTCCAGACTAGGGGGTGATGGTGGGGAGCGAAGGGAAGCGCGTAGGATCTGCAGACCATGGCCCGGCTGCAGAGGCTGCACGCAGTGCAAGGGCGAGTCTCAGCCTGGAGCAACCAGTCAAGCTTCAGTAGCTCCTGTCCCCAGGGAGTAACTGGTGCCTTGGACACATTCCCACTGCTGTAACTTGTGTGCTTCCTGTCCCCTTGGCCCTCTGGGCTAGGTTCTTGGATGCAACCCGGCCTTGGCTCTGGAACACTATCAATCATCCTAACGGATAAAGACGCTCTGCCTGTACAATGGAAAGGCCTCCATCCAGGCAGATGCCCTGCGTCTTCAATTCTAACGCAAGTCCAGAGCTTTGGGAAGGAGAGCTGTTTAGCCTGACTTATAGAAATAGAGGACCAAACAAAATGAGTGGAGAAATATACCCCTGATTTGAAAAAGCAAAGGATGCATATGTACCCTAATGCAACAGAATTACATAAACTACCAAAAACATCTTATTATCTAGTTCTCACTCCGGAGAACCTGGCAGGCTACCAAAAGTATCCTGCCCACACGGCAGAGTCTGGCAAACTCCCCGTGGCGTTTTCAATATGCCAAAAACCAATAACAATGATGGGTCTCATTCTCCTAACCCTGAAAGAGCCTCAAATGTGGCACTTCCTAAAATCTCAGGTCTAGGATGAAGAAGACGTTACTGGTGCCTGCTTGAGGCAATTGATGAACAACAGGATGACAGTGACAGTGATACAGTGATACCCAAAACAACTGTCATGATGTTCACTAAAATTAGAGGAGAAAGTTAGATAAATAAAATGAGAGCTACAAAAAATATGAGAAAGTTCCAGACAAGAAATCATAGAACTAAAGAGAATAATAATTGAACTAAAAAATAAAATGAGGGAACCCAACAGTAGACAAGGTAGTAAGTGAAGTGAATTAGATATTGTGTTTCCATATTTACATTTTTAAGATTTTTTTGATTATTCTAACTCTGTTGAATTTCCTGAGATAGTTCCCTATAAGTTTGTCAGTTTCTGCAAAACCCCTGCTGAGATATTATTATTATTATTATTGTTATCATTATTAGTTTGCAGTGCCATGGATTGACCCAGGACCTCAAACATGCCAAGGCAAGTACTCCACTGCTGAGTTAAATCTCTGGCACTTGCAGATATTTTAACTGTGATTGCAGTAATCTATGGATCATTTTGCATGGGATGGGGAAATGATATTTTACTAACATTGAGTTTTCTTGTCTGTGAACATGATGTTTCTTATAATTAATTAAATCTTTCTTTTTTCAGTAATGTTTTGTAGCTCTTAACATTTGGCACATCTGTTGTTAAAATGCAAACTCATATCATAATCATATCATATCATAATCATAAAGAGTAATTGATAGTTAAAATTGTTTCCTTTCCCCCTACATTTTATTACATATCTACCTATTAGTTGTAAGAGTGAATGACTGAAGAGTACAGTAAGAAAGTGGATCTCACAGGGCAGAGTGAGTCACAGGCCCAAACTCACAGAACCTGGTCTCAAACTCCACCAAGATTTCAACAGCAAAAATTTTCTGTTGGAATTACACTGGTTCATATTTTCTTGGGTTTGTAAGATTTTTCAGTTTGTGACTATTAAATATGATGTTGATATTTCTAAATTGAAATTAGATATAAAACAAGAAGTAATGAACAACGAAATATTGATCTCTAAAGTCAGTGACTTTGGCGGCACCACAAGTGGTGCTCGGGGATCACTCCTGACTTGATGCTTGGGGTTCTGGTAGTGCTCAGGGAACCATGTGGTGCCAGAGACCAAACTCAGTATGCAAAGCATGCATACTAACGCTTTGACAAGCCGATGCCCCGACAGCCAGGGCCTTTCAATCTGAGAGATAATTGTGCAAATAGCCAGCACTTACGTAAAGAAAATGGAATGAAGATCGGGTTAGAGGTTACACAGGGATAGTACGGGTGTAGGGTGCTGGGTTGCAATAACTTTGTGTGTCTATACCATACACTTTAACACTATTATAGCCATGTTACCCCAACTACGCTGAAAAATTAAGATTTTTTAAAAGTTGATAATAAAATAGAATACAAATAGAGATCATATTTAGTTAACATCATCTTAAGCGGTATAGGAAGCTTCCTACAACAGAGAATGTTAAAACTAAGACCAAAAGGCTGGAATAATAGTACAATGGCCAGGGTGTTTGTTTGCCTTTCCTGCTGCCAATCAGGGTTCAATTCCCCACACCCTATTTGGTTCCCTGAGCCCTCCTGGAGTGATTCCTTAGTGCAGAGCCTGGAGTAAGCCCTGAGCACCTTCGAGCGTGGTCCCCAAATTAAAACACACACACACACACACACACACACACACTCACACACACACACACACACACACAAGAGCCTAAGACATAAATGGAGCAAGATAAAAGAAGAAAGGGGACGAAAGATAAATGTTGATTAAAGCAAACAAGGAAACAAGAGAAGAAAATAACTTGATGTGCTCAGAGAGATTTTTCAGTGATAAAGTGGTGAATGTGTAGTCTGAATCCTTTTGGATCTTGTGATTGTAGAAGCACAAAGAAACCATATACTCAGTATATGTTTATTTATATTTCAGTGCAGTAAAGAATGATCATACTTAACATACTTTACGGTTTTCTCTCCTAAAGATGGAAGCGCAAGATGTTCAAATGAGGACACCACTGCGAACACAGTATCACTTTTACACTGTACTTCCCCATCCATGCCACCCCCTAGAGCCGCAGCTCCCACAAGTGCTGAAAGAAGCGGTCCCTCAAGTCTTACCTGCAGGGCAGTTTCCTTCTTCTTGCTGCCCATGATTCTGCAAATGATACAAATCTCCTTGCTGCGGACTCTGACCTTGCTGGCGAGCAGCCTAGGGATAGAACTCTGCGTGGATCAGTTAGCCCCCTGCAAACCAAGCACCCCATCCCTCTTAAATGATACAAAGAAACGCACAGTTGCAACATGAACACCCCATCGGGAAGTGGACCCGACAGCCTGCATGTATGTGGTTCACCGGTATGGTTTTCTGCAAATCTTCGAACCCCTTTCCAGCCCAGGAGCGAGCAAAGACCCTCCCCTAAAAGCAGGTCCAGGCGATGCCCCGCAAGAGACATCAGAACGTCCACCGAGGTATTAGGGCGAAAAGAACCATTATTCCTACTGTATCAGTGTAGTCCAGAAAAATTCTCGTCTCTGAGAACTCTAAGGGCGCGCGGGGAGAATTTCCTGCCGAGTTTGCAGCGACCCAGACACCGTCGTCTTGGCAACACGGCGCAGCTTCCAACTGGCCAATGAGAAGCAGGAATACACGTAAGTCACGCCCACTCAGCGCCGCTCAGTTCTTTTTGAGAAGATTCTGATTCCCACACCAAGGGCAAGCAGTCCAGCCTTTTAAATTCTGATTTCGACCGTAAGAAATGCTCTCAGGGGCTGGAGCCTCTGTCAGTGTAGGAAGGTACGAGGATTCGGGTTCATTCTGCGAAGATTCTGTGTATTTCTGTGCATTCTTGGATTCCAGCAAATTTCCTGCCTGGCGAACACCAATGTGCAAAAGCTTTTCTCTGATTACTTACTGTATGCCAGGCAGCAGTGTTTGCAAGTTTTGAGAGATCTGAAGTCAAATTATTTTAAGACAAAGAATACAAAATTATAGAAGTTAGGAGATGGAAGGAAGAGAGGAAGGGAGGAAACAGAATCGAGAATCCAGAAATTTATCTAGATAAGTGAGGACAACTGACAGCTGACAACGTGGCAAAGAAAAGTTACAGATATAAGTGGTACTAGAATAACCGGATGTTCATTTGCCAGTCTCTCCTCTCCATAAAAAAGGGATCTAGACACGGAACTTACGTCTTGCACAAAAGTTAACTCATAATGGATCGCAGGTATAAATACAAAACTATGAAACGTCTAGAAGAAAACAGAGAAAATCTAGTTGACTTTTGATTTCGTAGGTGCTTTTAGACACAATACCAAAACAATGATCCACAAAAAAAAGCTTTATGTTGAAATTTATAAAAATAAAAATGTGTGCCCCACAGGACACTATTAAAAGAATAAAAAAGACAAGTTATAAATTTGGAGGAAAATACCTGTAAAAAATATCTGATAGATGAATTTTTATCTCGAGCGGGCCCAGTAACGTCTCCATTGGAGACTTTGTTGTTACTGTGTCTGGCATATCGAATACGTCATGGGGAGCTTGCCAGGCTCCGCAGCGCAGGCGAGATAGTCTCGGCAGCTTGCCGGGCTCTCCGAGAGGGGCGGAGGAATCGAACTCGGGTTGGCCATGTTGGCTGCGTGCAAGGCAAACTACAAAATTTAATAATAAGAAAATAGATCATCCCGGCTGGAGCGATAGCACAGCGGGTAGGGCGTTCGCCTTACAAGCGGCCAACATGGCCGACCCGAGTTCGATTCCTCCGCCCCTCTCAGAGAGCCCGGCAAGCGACGAGAGCATTCGATATGCCAGACACAGTAACAACAAAGTCTCCAATGGAGACGTTACTGGGCCCGCTCGAGCAATCATTTTCTAAAATTTGACAAAATATCTGAACAGACAGGCTATGGAAATACCTCAAAGGGGTAGAATATTTCTTTTGCAAGCTGAATCTTTAGCATCACATGGTTCCCTGAGCACCAACCATGTGTAGCCCCACAACCAAACCAAATAAAAAAGATCTGAACCAAAAAAATGTACTAAAGACCTCATCTATATATTCATTGATGGAAAAAAAGTCAAGTAAAAAAAGTTCTACCTTGTCGCTAGTGAATTAAGTAAAACTATAGTGAGATATATCTACATACCTGTTAGAATGGCTAAAATCCAAAATAGCTGGCTATATAAAATATTAGTAAAGATTCAAGGCAACAGGCATGCCTACACAATGCTCTTGGGGAATACAAAATAGTCCAACCCCTGGGGAAGATAGTTTGGCATTTCTTACAAAGCACAGTTTTACCTTTTGACCCAACAATAGTATCTATAGTTACCCAACGATTTGAAGAATGATGTGCGTGTTTAGAGACGCTTTATACTTAATCACCAAAAGTTGAAAGAAACCAGAAAACTCTTGAATAGAATAATGAATAAACACATGGACACATTCACACATGGGGTGTCCCTATGGCACAGCCTGGCATGCTGAAACTACAAGAGACAAGTGCTGTGTGTTACCCTGAGTGTGGTTACTCGAACTCTTGACTAGTTTGAAATCTCCGAGCACTTACTCTCCCAAGTAAAACTTAAGTTAGATGCAAAAGTTTTCCTGCCAGCACACGGGTCAACTTTTAATTCTTTTGAGAGGGTTAAGTTCTTCTCCAATGTTCTCTGCATGGCTTGGCCAATCGAAACTCAGAAACAAGTTGAGAGGAATCACATTGCCTGGGACACTCCAACTTTACACCTAATGTCTTGTGAAATTATAAATTATTCATATCAACTCTTTTTGCTTTCAGACATGTATTTTGATCAGTAGGAGACTCATCAGTTTTCCTGCAAATGGGTCACTTTGGGTCATTCAGCTTTTGATTTCTTTTTTTAATGAAATTTCAATCTTGTTCATATTTTATGATATGATATGAGTTAGTGACATATCTTTTTCAGAGTCATCTAATTAGACACATCATAAGGATGCTACTTTTGGGGGGTTTCATTTTTGCTCTGTTTAATACAAGCACTTCTAACTTTAAGGGTTCCTGCTGGATTTCAGAGTCTGAAAGATGCAAAACCAAAACAAGGTATTGTTTTTCCTGCAAGTCATGTCCATTACCACAAGGTGGTGGTTTACTCCAGGGAAAGCCTTTTGTGACCCAAATTGGAAATGAAGAACTTTCTCCAGGAGAGAACTGCAGATATGTGAGGCAGCAGCAAACATGAATGAACCTGTCCCTTTAAAAGCAAATCTAAACACACACCAAAGCAGGACCTGACTTCCCCCATAATTCTCAGCCTTTCATCTCAGATGAAATGAATGCATGCATACATCTAGCCGGCATCTCTCTGCCTCCAGATTATTTTCCTCCCTGAATAACTTTTGTGTTTTTTTTATGTTTGCTTATTTTTGGTTCTGGACCACGCCCCTCTGTGCTGAGGGCTTACTCCTGGCATTGCTCAGGGGAACATATGGGATGCTGGCGATCAAACCCAGGTCAGCCACGTGTCAGTCAAGCACTGTATCTGCTGTACCGTATTGCCAGCAGGCTCTCCTTTTTCTGTTTTGACATATTTATGCTATTTAATTTCTTGGTTTTGGGCCACAGTTAGTGGACGTATTTGGGGGCAACTTCGGGCTCTGTGCTCAGGGTTGGGGGGTGTTTGGGCCACAGCTGGAGGTTCCCAGGGATTATTTCTGGTAGTGTCCAGGGTCAATTATGGTGCAGAGGGTTCAACCAGGGTCTGTCATATGGGATTCTCAGGGCCATAGATATATTTGTTGCTATTTTTGGACCAAACTCCATGGTGCTCAATGGTACTCAGAACTTACTTCTGTCCCTGTGCTCAGGGATCACTCCTAGCTGGGTTCGGGGACCATATAGAATGCCAGAATTAAAACCTGGGTAGACTGCATGCAAGGCAAGCACCATACCCTTGGTACTACATTTATTTAAAACTTAGCTCTTCAGGGGCTGGTGCGATAGCACAGTGGGTAGGGTGTTTGCCTTGCACGCAGCCAACCCGGGTTCGATTCCCAGCATCCCATATGGTCCCCTGAGCACCGCCAGGAGTAATTCCTGAGTGCAGAGTAACCCCTGTGCATTGCTGGGTGTGACCCCCCCCAAAAAAAGCTCTTCACTTGATTTTCCCTTAATTACCTAAAATATCACATTACAGTTAAGCAGCCACACTGGGGGCGGTAGCTAGGGAGGGCCATTGTCACCACAACTCTGGCCACAACTAGCTGGGGCAGGGGAGCTCCGTGGACAGCAAGTTTGTTGGGTTTTGAACTAAAAGAACGTAACTGTAGCTGAAGAGATAGGGAGCTTGTCTTACATGCAGCTGACCCACGTTGGAATCCGGAGCACTGCCAGGAGTTATTCCTGAGTGCAGAGCCAGGACTGACCCCTGAGTGTCACTGCGTGTGCTCCTTCTAAAAAGAGTAACTGACTATTTACCTTCATGAAGGCGGGATTTAAAATGACCAATTGTTTTGGTTGTGTCTTGGGATAAGGATTGGGGCTTGGGATGGAAACGTGACAAATTTGGTGGTGGGAAAGTGTAATAGTGGTGTTTGGTGTTTGATTATTAACTGTAATCAAATATTGTGAACCACCTTATAAAAATAAAAATTAAAAAAATAAATAAAATGACCAATTGGCTTGACTAGATTGTCTGGGACTCCCTTTTGCTCCCTCTACTTCTGCCATAATAATTTCACTTGGTGGCAGAAATTAAGTCTTGGCTAGTCGCATCCCTGAGTTCCTCATTTTTCTCAGCAGTCCATTGCTGCAGTCAAACTCCTAGCAATGTTCTGGGACCCTGTGGCATGGCCAAATGCAAATGCAAGGGGTTAAAATGCTTTAACCCCTGAACTATCTCTCCAAGCCTGAGTAATGAGTTCCTGATTTCAGTTGTTATGCTTTACAGGTGGTAGAACACTAATTTTATTATCTTTTCTGAAACCTTAGCTATCTGGTGATATTTTCTCCTCTTTTACATATTTTTTCAACCTTTTCTTCATTTTTATTCAACATATGACTCTTAAGTGTTAATATTATGAATTTTAAGTATACTGCTTATAGAATGAAATGTGTAACATGTCTGAACATTACTTCACAGCTTAATGAATTTCCACGTTAGTTCATATCTATAACCACCTCCCAGAGCATGAAATACACCATTTCCAGTTCTTTCCTGCTCAGTTAT